TAAAGTACATTTTATTAGTTTAACAAAAAACAATCATAAATTTTAGGGAGTGTTACTGAGAAAAGGAAAAAACTAACGATTTTTGTCAATTTGTTTGAATTCATACTTCTTCATTTTTTCGTAAGGTAAATCCAAATGAAGATATTCATCAAACGATAACTTGTTGTCACCATTTTGATCTGATCGTCCAAACTGTTCCGCTGAATTTGAAAATAATTGAATAAAAAGGAAAGAAATAATTTTAAAAAATGATGGAAAAAAGTGTATTGAAGAATGCTAGATATCGAAGAACTATAAAAAATGATTTTTTTAAATTTCAAATGCAAGGTCACGAATAGTAATTTTTGATGTTAAGAAATATTCAAAATTAATTTTTTAGTATACAATGAGAAAATAACTAGAACTTAATATTATTATCATTCTATTAATAATGTTCCTAATTCTGAACAAAACAAGCTTAAATATGCTATTTTGTTGCTACTAAAATTTGAATTAGTACACGCTAAAACTAACCGGCAGTTTCATACGAGAATTCCGAACTGCTACTATCAGGAACTCTAAGCGTGATTGTTCTCGAGTTGACCAAATAAATGGAACAAAGTAAGGAGTGAAACAAGAAGATAAGCATCCTTTCTTCCTAAAATACAATCTAAATTGAAGTTACTCTTCAAGTACAAATGCTGCTGATTTAAATGATATTGGAAGTAATTTACAGGTGCCTATTTATAGAATCTACCATCCTTCTCATTTCATTGCTATCTCGCCCTTCTTCATTCTTACATTCAAGTTTTCTAGTTCATCACACCCTGTGTTACTGTGACATCTTTTCAGGGGAGGGCAGCAAATTTGTTGAAAAAAATTAAAAAACAAAGAATATTTCGAAAAATCGATTGTTTTATTGATTTAACTTTCTCCGTATGCATCAGTTGGTTAAATATTTCGAATTTTCACTAACGATTCTTCATAATAGTAATGAGTGGAGTAAATAGCATTTATTCAGCTAAAATTTACTGACAATTCTAAAAATGAAATTAAGAGAAGAATACTCATTACACTGCCGATGGTCAATTGATATAATTGTTGGCAATTCATTTCATTTTCTCTCGTAGTTCGAAATTTGAATTGGAAAGAAATGTTTTGATTAAATAAAAATTTGAAATGTTAAGAAAGTATTTTACTAATTCATTTAAATGTCATATCAAAAAGAAAATTTTCCCCTTTATTCACATCAATTTTTCAAATTTTTCAAATATTCGCACAAAAATTCTTGTCGAATATATTCACAGTGCTGTTCAAACCATTTCACTACTAGGCTTTAATATCACGGAAAAAAATTTAACACAATCGATTTACCAATTTTATTGTAAAATTATTGTCAAATGCGGTTCTCAAAAATTTTAGAAAATTTAACTTTCTTTGAAAAAAAAATCCTGCGTCCAAAATCACCAAAATTTTGTGAAATTTTTTCAAAATTCCTGACATTAAAACAAAAAAAAAAATCACAGACCAAATAATCTGAACTGTATTTGATCGAGCAATTTTTTTTCCTATTTTTTTTCCAGTTTTTAAATTGTATTCACTACCCGTCGGTTAAGGATGTAACAATCGAAAATTTGTTTACTTCGAAATTTTCAAATCATAAGATCTCTTTCTTCTCAAAAACTACATTTCAAATACAATTTCATTAACAGCACTTTTAAATCAGTTTAAAGTATAATACAGTCTGTCAAATATTCTTCCCTCGAAATTCATTCGTGAAGTTTTTTTTTTGCTATTCATTCCAAAGTCTATGTCTGCTAAACGGATTTTTTCAATCGAAAATTCATTTTTGTTTTCTGAGAAACAATAACTAATAAAAGAGAGATGAGTGGAGGAATGAAAGAGCTATTATTTCTCTTTATTGGATTACATTTTAGTTGATGTTTTTTTTCCGATCATTTCCCGAAAATTGATCAAATGAAATTTTGTAGTTGAATGTTCGGTATATTTACTTTAATTAGAATTTTATTGTTGAAATGTAATTCCGTGGAATGTTTTCATTGAGAATATGCATCACATGTTACAGGATGACATATTTAAATTTTCACAGTTTCCTAAACTTTCACATATTACTGTAACCTTATGATCTTTCTTAATGACCTGAAATTTAATGGCGACTCAGTCTTTATTTCGTTGGAGAAGAAACTAAATCTGCACGTAATCTTTATATTTTCAAATTTTTTTACGCACTCTTTGACGCTTCATTGCGACCAAAAAGAAAAAGTACACCTCGAAGAGTTTTTGTGACAAATTATCGTGTGTAAATTAAAAAGAGTAATTAATTACTCATTGGAATTTATCAATTAAAACACATCTAAAGTTTATGTAATAAAACAATGGAAAATTTTTATTGGAAATTTTGATAAGACATTAAATACAAACTTTGATCTGTCTGTAAAACTTCTTTATTTTGATAGGATGTATTATAATGCTAAATTAGAAATGAAGTCACTAATTATTCATCATTAGTAATTGTTCTTTTAAGAGATCCGGTTTATTATCTAATTTTTTTTTGCTCTTTGTCTTTCTCTCTTTCCCTCTCTCTCCCTCTGATCGATATTCCTTGTAAACAAATTCCTTGTGAAATTCCCTGTAAACAAAAATGATTCATATCAGCTGCGTCATTCATCACATTATTTTCAGTCAAATTCATAGGCTGTTATTTGATGTTTGGTAATAAATGTTACAAAAATGATGAACATTTTGAGTATGTGGAAAAGGATTAAACAAATGATAAAATTAAATTTGCATTACAATTCTTTAATCTTAATATATCGCTTCATTTATCAGTTAATTAATTCACTTACTTTATATGTATATTAATTTTTATGTGATTTTTTTTTTCATTGAACTTTTTTAGATGTAAAATTGTGCCAGAATAACGCATAAAAGACATACATACTGTGATAACTGCATTGCAAATGATACAATTAAAAATATTAATTGTCAACAATTATCTGTTAAAATTAAATTTTTTGCAACTTTACTAGGAAACATTTAATATATATTAACAACAGGACATTATTACTGGTTTTTTCTATAAAAATTTTTGCAAAAAAATTATAAAACTTAAAAAAAGTTACTGTTGACTGAAATTGAAGTATAAATCAATAATAATTTTATAAGTGAAATATTTTGAATAGTACCTATAAACAGTTAGCACAACGATTGCTAATATTTTATGAAAATATTGGTAAGTTCATCGAAAATAAAAATGGCTACTTCAATTGATACCCCTTTCACATATGATATCTGGGCAATATTTCGGGTTAGAGAGATGAAGTGATAGTTTGCAAATTGGAATTTTGTTAAAGTGAGAGTCGAGATTTGAAATTGATGTGGTTAATCAGTTTCAGTTTTTTTACACAATTTAAAAGATTTCATCTCCTCCGTCAACATATCAAACTGCCCGTAAATAATTTATTAGTAAAAATGACACATTTTAATTAATAAGAAAAAGGAACTTCTACAGTGTTTGATATTACTGATGAGTTTTGTAACTGAATTAATTATTGAGGTAAAAAATAAATTGAATTGTTTTAGTATGTTTTCAATTCCGAAAAATTTTCAAACAGATATATTTCCAGTAAACCATGATTTTTATTTAACGTATACCTATGGAATAGTTACCGTTTAGAATGGTAACACGTTCGTCATCAATTTTGCAAAATTTTATTTTTATCGACATATCGCATGATGGAAATGCACGATGGTAACATGAAAGTTTTCTTCTAGTATACTTTTTAATTGAATGAAAGCTTAATTTCACGTGAAGCATGAAATTTCTATTTGTAACGAAAAAAAATGGATTAAAAGATAATACACTCATTATTTTATCTATAAATGGAAAAATATTTATTTAGCATTTGAGCTCATAAATTTGATAAAAAAATGGAAAAAATACTACAACAATTACGCCTTACGATAATACTTCTATTATTTTTCCATTTTTTGTAAGTTACAGATAAATTAGAAAAAAATGGTAATGTAAAAAAGTTTAAAACTAAATTAATAGCCATGAATATATAAATGTTTTCATCAATTTGATATTATTTACAGAGAAGTTTGATTCATTGTTGTTTGACGTTGTTAACCTTTGACCGGGACATTCTTCATATCAGAAAGGAATACGCCTCATAATAAAAATGACGAGAGCACAACTGCTCCTGTGCATCATTAGAATGTGAAAAACCGACTCACCTCATTTGTTCAAATCTTCGCTAAAAAATATATCACTGTAAAATTGGATTAAAACTTCTCAATATAAGGCTAACACTGATCTTATAAAAAATTGTAAAGAAATGAAACAATGCTTTACAATCATTGTAATCACAGATTTCTCAAATGAACAATTTTTTTTGAGACATCAAGCAAAAAACAGAAAATGACCAATGCATCGAGCTTGTTGACCATTAATAATTACTGGTGCCTTATTTTAAATTTTTAACGTATTAATAAGTATGCCTTACATAATAGCATCACTATGTCTGACATTAAAATTTATTTAAGTTTGAGAAGTGAAATAAATCCTTTCTGTTATCATTTCGCTTATCACTTTTTTTGAAAGCTAAATAAAAAACGAAGCAAAATGCAAAAATTAAGAAAAAATGAATAAAATGAGATAATAATAGCAAAGATTTATGGTTATAATATATTTGCGGTAAATTTTCTCGGTAAAAGCATCGAGGTATCCTGAACGGGTTCTTACTTCAGCAGAAATAATGAATGTTATTTTACTTCTCATCAATTTTTGGTCGCAAACAGATCTTTTCTTCTCCGAAAAATGAACGGAGGATTCTCTCTTTTCTTTTTTTCAAATGATGCACTATTTTCAATTTTTCGTGAAGCGTTTTTTTTTTCTAAAATAAAACGAAAATTTTTCGCTATTATTTAAAATTTTTTTCCAAAATTTTGGTTTTTTTCAGGCTGAAATATTAGAATTGAAAAAGTGTAGTAATCAGTCCTTTTTCAAGCTTTCCAATTCTAAAGAATGCAGACTTCATGCTTTTCATATAAGCTTGTCAACGAGAAGATTATAAGTAAGATTCTGAAAATTTCTTCTAATTATTGTGGCACTAGATGTTTCGAAGATGCTTAGCTTATTACAAACCTTAACCACAAATTCACAGTGTAATCAGTGATATTAGCTTTTCCTACAATACTTGTCAAGTGGAATAATCCTCTCTTTCATCTATTCTTTCCTCAGCGTTCCATTCATTTTATGACAGTTACAAGAACAATTTGAAGAAGAAAAAATTCCTTATAATGTCAATTAAATTGTAGGTAAAATTTTGAAGAGAAAATTCCTTTCCAACTTTTTTTTTGTGACATTCTAGGAACTTCTGTTATCGAAGTAGTTCTTCAATCTTTCTCCACTTTGCAAAGGAATGCAACGAATGTTGCTGTAATGGGTAAAGGAATGCCATGTTGTGTTCGTCCTTTTTATCAGTGCCCGAATTTCGTGATTGCCACTGTTCTGTACAATAAGTCGATGAATGCGCACATGTATACTTTCTTCATAAAGAATAACAATAAAGTAAGTACTCACCAATGATTTATTTACATAAATATCGAGAAAAGTACCAGAATAAAAAAACAAATTTTTGTAAAAAGTTTTTTCACATCAGCATCGATGAAAAAGTGACGATGAGACGCGTTTTTTCAATCAAATTCTAAAAGTAATAAATTATTAATTATCGAGAATAAAATGTACAATCAGTTTGATCAATAAAATAGCAGAATAAAGGCTAAATTAAGGGGTGGCAGATAACTGTTTTCAAAAACTCATTTCTTGCAAATTTGATGAGAATTTGGTATTCGTGCAACCATTAGGACGGGGAAGCTATAAATCGATAATAGAACTTTCATGTCGATAAAGGGTAAATTCATCCGACTTCGCTAAATGGGAAAAATGAACATTAGCATACGGTGTCACCTAGATTAATGCTGGTACTTCAGCAAAAACTAAAAAACAGCATCTTAATCATCTAAGTTTGTGGTACTAAAAAGTGGTATGCAATGTTGAAATGACCTGAATTAAAAACAAAACAGTCTTTCATATCCTAACAGTCATATGTTCCGATAATAGAAATTTCCGGAATCCTCATTTAAAGTAACAAATAATCGAGACTTTACCTTCACTTTAATTATCGTCAGCGTCTTCGGTAAAAGCCTGCGGAGGCTGCCTTCGTTCATTAGAGTATGGCATGATTATCGCAATATAACCTTGATTTTCAGGAGCAGAACGCATTAGATTAGGGTCTTTTAGAAGGCGTTCATTGATTTCAATCAAAAGAGCTTTAATACCAGCACGTAATATATATTCGGTACCATCTTCACAGTGTACAATACAGAGTTTTGTATCTGGGAATAATGCTAATCCACCCTGCATGCAATTGCAAAATAATTATTTCATACATTTAATAATTTTGAATTGTACAAGTAGAGATGCAAATAATCAAGTCAATCTATGTTTAAGCATATGATTATAGAAAATAGTACCAAGAAGAAAAAAAATAGCACCTTTTTTGCCTTACCGCTAACTTTTTGCTTACTTCGATCAATCCCCTTATTTTTTTTCATATGCCAATCAATTCTTTTGATCTGCTTCTGTACCAATTCATGATTTTTATACAATGTAACGACTATTATTCCATTTGGATGTCGCAAATAGCACAAACCATTCTCGCCGTTTTTCAAAATATAACGCTTGTAACTTCGATCCACCACCGAACGATAATTCAAGAGCTCCTTGGGAAAATCTTTGGATGCCATTCTTTGAATCAGTGTTCAACAGATTTTTTTTCCCTGAATTAAAGCTACTTGACTCTCAATTTCAACATACTCCAAATTCGAAAAATATTTATGAAAAAAATGACCTTTACATTTACGTGACCAATAATTCCAACAAACAGTAAACAAAATCATTAACGAATGACCTTCATACAACTCGAATGTCTTGTTACGGTGGGGAACAGGTACAGTAGGGAAGTCGCAGTGGAGTAGCAGACTGTAAAGGACACGAAGACTATACCGACTAACGATGATTACATGTCAAACGAGACTGTATGACAGCTGAAACCAATAACCTTTTTCAAACATAATTGTGTTTTGCGTGCAATCGCTTTACCGATCTAAGAACATCTCACTGGAAGAGTATTGAAGCCTAATTAAAGTTATGCCATTGCTACAGTATCGGTATATTTACTTCTTCCAAAATTGCTCTTTCAATCAGTTCTCGAATTATAGAAAACTCTATTAAGTATCGTTTAAATGGCACAATTAACGGTTGAACAATAAATCAGTCAGAAGATAACATCCTTCAACCAGAAATACTAGCAAACACTATTCAACAGCAAAAATTAGTTCAAAAATGAACAGAAAATCGTAACAACAACGAACTAACAATGTAAACAATGTTCCACTTCAACTTCAACATACTACAGATAAAAAGTGATGCTTCATGTTTTCATTTATTATTTCACTGGATCATTAAAACTCTCCACACTACTTTTATTTGGGGAGAAGAAAATTTTTAACTATTTATAGAAATAGTGAAGTAAATATTCCTGCTATAAAGATACATGATATGACTTCTGTGTTCTTAAATCTCCAAATTACGAACACATATGTATAATAAAAACTGCTTGTAAATTTAAAAATGAAACATCGCTCTGAGGATATCAAACTTAATTATTTTGCATTTTAAAATGATACTAAGTTTGGATATCCCAACAAAGTATGCATTGCGTTCAACAAAATGAGGCTATCAAATCCTGAGCAAATGTAAAAAAGATTGTAGGAAATATACGGAAGCACTGGTCTTAAACAGAAATGGAATACAGTTCTAAAAACATGCAAAGTTTACATTTTAAAGTTCGCTGACTTCAGCAAGCGTAATCCAAAATAATATTGGCAAAAAGATATGTTGACCCATTTACAATTCAACTTTCCAACCCTATTTTAAAAATACTAAAGAAATTAATAATAATACTGCCCAATAGCTATCATGACACATTTCTTCATAATTCAACGCAATTGTAAAGATATAAAATAGCAAAAAATAAAAATAAAAATGCATGAAGTAGAGTTGGGTAGACTAATAAAGGTCTCTGAATTATGCATGAAACCTTATGTGACGAAAATCAAAAAAATAACTAGCCAATTCCTAAATATTATGGCTTGTGCTTCCAAATGCCACAACTAAAGATCCGGAAAACGATTAGCATCTTCTCGATAAGACTTCGGTATTTTGAACATTTTTGAAGTTAGATCATTGCGGAACATGAATTTCTGGAATGTGACTTTCGCTGATATTGTTGGCAATATAGGAATTTCTGAAATAAAATAACAGATCATAACCTGACATGGGAAATCCACGAAAAAAATGAAAATTGTTAACTCCAAAATAGATTTTCATTCTTTTTTCAGAAATTTCTTTCTAAAAACTCCCTACAACTTAAAATTCTAAAATACATTTTTGGAAATTGAGAAGTATTTACCAACTCGAACTGGAAAACCAGGTGGCAACCTCATTTTACAAAAACACCGTAATTTATCGAAATGCTTAAAAGGTGCGACAATTTCGAAAATATCTAATAAAACGTCAATCGAAAGAGGGAAATCTTCAGCCTGAAAAACTTGGATGTATTTTGAAAAGAATAACAACTGTCTAAAAAACAGTATGCTGCTCAATATCAGTATTTATTTGACAAATTCATTATTTTAATCTTAATAATACAAAGATGAAGAGACATTCTATAATCTTCGACCAATTTTTTTGCAACTTCATCAGGTCATTTAAAAAATTTTAACCTACCTGATATAACTGCTGAAATTTTTCTTCTGTTTCTTTTAGCATGAGAAGTGAAGGAAAATTTTCTAAAAAGTTCAGAGAATATCTGAAATAATATGTTCCTGAAATTACTAGTAGAAAAAATTTTTACCATTGCAATAAGAGCTTTGAATTTCTTTGTATTTTGTTTAAGAACGTGAGTGCGTCCTAGAGAAGGAGCAAGACCAGCAGCAGCATTAATATATTCTTCCCACGTGGTCGTCACTTTTCGTGGAGGGGGTAGACTTTTTCGGTGTTGAAGACTCTTAAATTAATGATGTTCAGATAACACATACAAGTGCCACAATAACTTCCAATCATTTTTTATACTATCAATGCGCATTATTTGCTTTGTTGAGAACTTGATAAGTCATATAAAAACCAAGACACTGCAAGTAAAATATGACTTTAACATACTATGAATTCATCTTCCGTCATCAATGATCCCATTGTTAGACTTTGCATGAATGCCTTATTCTTCTTGATATCTTCTGCTGTCAAGTGTTCCCTTCTGCAATATGCAATTTGTTAGAAATAACACATAAAATTAAAAATTTTCAAATCTTACAGTTAAATCTCTAAAATAATAACTGAAAAATTCGATTTGGATAATTTTCTCTTTTTTCTATGATTCCACCGCCGAATGTATGCGCTTTCGTAATGAACAGCAGGATAAGAATAAAATAAACCTATCACCAATTACAACTTTTCTGATCAAACATTAACTGACATTTTTCAAGAAAACTTTGAATAAAATTATAAGAACAAAAGCTAACCGTTTCCGAGTAATTAGTGACATACCATCCATAGTATAATAAACAGCACTATAATCACCAACCTGTTCCTATAAAATCAACATCTGTATCAGAAAATAATACTGGAAACTTCCGGAATGATATTTTTCAACTTGTACTTTAAAGAAGAAAGTTCGAAAAGAATTAAAGCGAATTAAACAACCAAATATAAAAGAACCTTACCAGCTTTTCGTGTTTGAAAATCCAACCACTTATTGTTCTTTCAAACGTTATTGGTTTCGTAGACATTTGAACACTTACAATATCAGAAGACATTAGAACATCAATTTCTTCATCCAATTCAGTCTGTGATTCCTCATGTCTTATACGTTGGAATACCTCAAATGCTATAATTTATTGTAAATGCAAAAAAAAGAAAAGAATTAATATAAAAATAAGTTCAATAAGTTTCTTTGAAAAAATTTTTCAATATTGAAAAAAACCTTAGCCTCATGATCTAAAATCAGAAGCTGGTTCTTAGCGCGATCCGAATCTGATGCAAAGATGAAGGATATATTGCCTCGTTCCCAGGTTCGATCAGTGAAATCAACTAATGTTGTATCCAACCTTAGGTTTGTCCCACATTTATATATTTTGCATACATCCGAAGGAAGCATCTTCGTAAGCAGAGGTACTAAAATTTTAAAATATGATGCACATAAGTTTAACTCTGCCCAACATGCATCATTGAGAAGAAGGAGATGATGAAATCCATTTTGAGAGTGATGTTCGCAATGTGAATTGATAGATCCACCCGTAAAGATAGCTGATTAAAAAAATAAACTAATGGAATCATTAAAATATAATAAGGGGACAACTTACGCCAGCTTTGAAAGTCCCATTTTAATTCCAAATAGAAATCATCAAACTCAGATAGCATCTTAAGCAAATGAGGTTTTCGAGCTGCCATATTTTCCCGTGATTGTGCCTTCAATTTACGTAACATAGCTGTAACTGAAAAATGAATAAAAATGAAAAAATTTGATCTTTATCGTGAAGCATATAGAGAGTATCAACCATAAACTTTTTGGATAGGAGTATTAAGGGTTTGTCTTATTTTGAATTTCATACACAGAAATATAACTCAATTTTATTCGCATCTAATACTTATTCAATATAACCAATGATCTTCCCTATTATACCAACATTCACGTAGGACTTACTCATTATATTGAAACAAAAATTTTCGAACCAAAGATCATTATAATATAGTTTAAAAAACAAGCTCATGTACAAGGATAATTTAACAGACGCAAAAGAAAACTTGTAGTCATACTGTTTGCTAAAAAATATCAGTTTGGATAACAGATAATTGATAAAGTGAAAATAATTTCAACGACAAAATAATTGATAAGAAATAGATCTACTTATTTGTCGATCGCCATAGCTGACTGCTTCCATTAAGCTATTCCATCCGTCCCTGTTCTTCGATTTCACTGGAGCATTATGAGCAAGCAAAAGTGCTGTTGCCTCTAAAAATCATGCTTGAATGCAAAAAATAATGGAAAATCAAGTTTCATTTTCCGAAAGCATGACTCTTTATATTCGATAGATGTGAAATGAGAAAGATTTTACAAACCCCTGTGTCCGAGCATTGTAGAAATGTGCAAAGCTGTATTGCCTTGGAGATCTTGCAAATGAAGATCTGCACCTGAAGAAGCGAATTCATTTCAAATTTTACTTACAAATTATATTCAGAATTTACTTACAAAACGTTAACAAAACTCAAAATATTTCATTCCAAAAAATAAACTTTTAAAACACAACATTTCATATCACCATTTACTACACTAACGCTGCATTATTATAGAATCGAAAATATATAAATCAAAAATGAAACCATTATTAATAAGTTGTGCAATCGACTGTGTATCGTTGAAGAATGCAGCACGGTGTAACGGATACCTTTCTATTTCTGTCATCAGTCTGAGTAGTGCCAATTTCGTCAATGGACAAAATTGTTGGGCTATGGATGAAAATACATTCTACCTGTAAATAATGTCTTTTATTAAAAGGAAAAGCATACAAAAGAACGGTATATCAGCATCACGGTAAATTTGAAATCATTACATTATATATTATGCTGCATATTAAATATAGTACATTCATTATTATATATTTCAACATTATTTTAGCATTTCAGAGATATTTTTTTGTGCTTTAACAAAAAAACTTCATATCGATGTTGCATTATAATTCGGAAGAGCACATATACAGGTAAACTGCTTATAGATGAAATCTATAAGCAGTTTAACACTTAATATTCATAGAAAATAAGGGATAATCTTTAATAGTAACATGATTTCAAAAATCATAAAACTATTGTAAATATCTCATAAAAGATCACCCATAAACAAAATCACGAAATTAAGAAAAAAAAGAAATTAAGAAAAAATATTAATTAACGCGTTTCTCTGCAGACATGCAGGCATGCAATACGTGACATTCCTAATCTGCAAATTATCCTTAATTTCCGGAATAGAAACACGAATAAACCTGCTATTTAGTCAAAAACCACTAACAGCTATCACTTAACTTTCAGCAAAGATTACGGAACTGTTTCATACAGTTCTTATTGCTTTCTATCATCTCTTCGACTCTCTCTACCATCACTTATTTTGCAATCACCTCCACCACACTCTCTCAAATCCCTGCAATCCCTAATGCAAGACAACCTATGTTGCATGCTCGTCGTATGCTGCGGAAACTGAGATGGCACGTGTGTGGGTGGGATGCGAGAGTATCATTGGACTCTTCGAGATGATTGCTAGCGGGAACGGAGAGGACGAGAGATGACAGAGACGGAAGAAGGGGTCATAGTGCACTTTAGTGGGGGTGATTCTGACGAACATCAATGATTGCGACAATAATAAACAGCAAGTTCAAGCTGTAGGACTTTAAAAATCGTTTCATTTGAAATATCTGTTAAATTTTGTTTGAAGCTGAAGAAAATTGTGTTGAGTCATCCAGAAAAAAAAGTTTGACTGTTCAAAATGGAACAAGTCCGTCTATCAGAACAGAAAAAAAAGATTAGAAGATATGTTTCGGAACAGTTGTTTGATTTAATTATTACTTTCATGATTCATCGTTATATTTTCAATTACTTGTCATCTTTTTTATCGTTCATACCATTTTCAATTTAATTTTTTTTTTGAAATGTCAAATATTGCGTTAAGAAAAATGAGCATAAGCAACATCAAATAGATTCTACAATAGTTTCTTACTGTATTGTTGCAATTCAATTTTTGTCTCACGAGAGAATTCCATGTTTATCCAAAAATTTGAACAAATCTAACAAATAATTTCTAGCAATAAAAATATTAAGGTACAAATTTCCTTGAAAAATTACAAATATTAAATTGATTAGGAAATAGCAACTGTTGTTAACCTGTACGACCCTTTATCTACAGCATTCTGAAAACGATAGTTTACATCAGAAATCAATACCATCACGTTCAATAATATGCAAAAGGAAAAAAAAAGATGAAAAATCAGCTTTGTTCGTTGTTTAAATTGAATATCTTATTTATTTTTACCACCCCTTCTCAACTTTATTCCTTTTCATTGTTTTTCTCTGTCCCTCCCTCCCTCTCTCTCCCTCTCTCTCTCTCTCTCTCTTTTCCTCCTTCCTAATCTAATGTAAGTTTTTACCACAATTTCGATAAAATTCAAACAGCTAGAATGTCCGTGTGTATAGATTTAATGTTGACTGCGGTACTAATTTTCATTCACATTAAAGTCGTTGTCTCTTCTCAAAATTCAATTGTAGCATTGTAAAATGTCTACTGGGATTTCATTTTTGCAATTTCAATCAATCACTGAAAGGAATATAAGATCTTTTAGTATCATTAATAATAATTCAGTCAGCAAATAATATCTGGTATCTAATTGATCAGAAAGACCTTACGAAATGCCACAAAAAAATTGAAACTGTCGCTATAAATAAAAGTTTAAGTTGTTAAATTTTATCAATATCCATATTAATTCGAAACTACTGAAAAATAAGATGTCTAACAGTTTAAATATACGAGACATATTTTTAATCAGTTTTATGAAAAAAGTTACACTTTAAATTGCTACCAATGTTGAATTAACCACAATAGAATTAATGTTGATCTAACTGGGAAAAAACTTATATCTGAAATGGCAGGAAGCCTCCACTCAACAAAGAAATATAAAAAACTATGTTGGGATGTTGAAGATATTCAAAAATGATAAAATATTCTCTTTTGAATCAATTGATCCTTACATTTCTTTCCCGCGATATCTATTGTCCGAGAATCATTCGTTGCTCAAGCATTCACACATTAAAATATTGAAATTTTGAAAATTTCCAATAACGATTCAAGAAAACTAATTAAAATCCCTGTGAAGGGATGATTTTTTTTTCAAATAGCAATACTAAAAGAGAACATAATGAATAATAAAAGAGCTCGACTCTAATTGTTAATCGACCATAGGACAGAAAAAAAAAATCCCTTTTCAAATTGGTAAACTGACTGCGAAATCTCAGAAAGCTCCAGAATCCCGAGAATCATACATTACTACTTTTGCAAAATCAATACATACATAATGATATCATCAGAATGACTAATGATTAATGTCAATAGGTGGGAAAAATCGCAATAATTCGATTAATTTATTGTAAATTGGCGAGATTCTTGTAATATAAATTGTTTCATGATTTCATGATTACTTTTTTCTTTCTACCATATAATGTTTTTAATCGGTTTTTTGGAATCGTTTTGCAGGCAATAATAAACAAATCTGTTCTCCATCAATAGTTAAAAATTTACTGCGAGCAATTTCAATTACAATGTTTAAAAATGATTACTGAGAGAGAGAGAGAGAGAGAGAGAGAGAGAGAGAGAGAGAGAGAGAGAGAGAGAAAACAGGAAGCAGAGTTTGGAGTTCGTATTGAAATGTTCCAAGTTTTTTTCCTTCAAAATTTCTCTTATCAATTTCTTATCACTTCATATTCAAAATTTCTAAAGAATCTATGTCTATTACTCACACGTCTTATGAACTAAGTAAAATCTAAAATATAAACACGTTGCGTGACGTGATTGTAATGTTTAATAAGGTAACAAAATGTTGATAGGTTTGAATTCGAGAATTTATTCGAACTAATGGACTAATTAAGTAAGAAGCGGACTTGAAATGATTGTCAATTTAACTATTCCTAATGTATAAGTAATGAAATTAAATTAAAAGACAAACCAAAAAAAAAACTTTGCAAAAGAAGATTGAGGTTTTAAAGCTTCTAAATTAAACAGATCGATTTTTTCTGTCTTTCTCCTTCTCTCCCCTCTCTCTCCCTCTCTCTCTCCATTTATTTAATAATGAGCAGTTCGCGTAGAAAAAAAAAAGCATTAGCTGGATGAAAATAATATTGAATTGAAGAATGGAAAACGAGCGCTAAGTATTGATGTTCAATGTCATAATGGACAGAAATGAATGATTGGCAGCTAACAAAAAAATATCGCATGATATGAGCCAAAATGGATAGAGGAATTTGTTCTAAGAAATAAATTTTAAATCAATGACATAATTCTCAATCCATGTGAATAATTTTTTCACAAGATTTTTCAACAGTAGTATGGTTGAATGAAGAAATTTCATGTTAAATCCATTACATACTTGACTTCAGCTAATTACGCTACTTGTACGCGAAGAAATAAAAAAGTTTTTTTCAGTAATATGGGAATAAAATTCAAATCAATTTTTATTCTGTAGTTAGTTAACGGCAACGCTCGCTCAATTACTGATAGTTTATGGAACAATTCAGTCAGTGATTATCAAAAGGGAATCAATTAGCGCTATTCAATATCATCAAATAATGTACAAAGCTGGACTGAATAAGTTAATTTTATTTCTCAGCACAAGCATATTTTCCAAAAGTTAGAAAAAAAAGAAAACTTTCGAACGTAGGTGTAATGGGCGCAAATTACCAAATATATAATTCATCGCTATCATCGGTTTTTAGACATGAACTACTATAATGAGCCTATTAAAATTCATTATTATTTAATATGAAAATTGATGATAGCGATGAGTTTATACTGAAATTTCTCAACATAGCGATGTTTTACTTCGATAATTAGCACATTGGCGCATTGGGTTCTGTGAAAGCAAAAGACCATTAAAAGTGGCTGAGTAAATTAATAGCTGATGAATAAATAATAAGAATATGTAGATTGCGCAGAATTTTTTTCTTGTGACCATAAGTTAAATTTATGGCTCTTATATGGTTAAGGGAAATATTACTGCTATCAATTTTATCATATCTATTGAATGGCTGATTTTAATGAAATAAATTAACTGATAAACGTTAGTTAGATAAATTGCCTTAGATAAACTTCTCTACCAATTTTAATTTTAAATCACAAAATTAGGATTAATTTGATGATTTTATTCAAGTCAATCTTTGCTCTATGAGCGGTCTTTGTTGTGCGACGAAAGAAATCTTGATGATTTTTGTTTGTTTTGACGATTTTTGATTTTTGTTTGATGCAAAAATGATTTGAATGAGAAAGTGTCTAATCTTTTCTTTTTCATTCAGCAATTTAAGAAAATGTTTGATTTCTAAAATCAGCATTTTTTGAGCATGAAAAAACAACGTTTGATTGATTGCATCGCAAATCTAATCTGCCAATTGTCGAACATTTCGGAATTAGGGAAATATAATTCATTGTTTATTCCGATTAAATGATATAATCTGCTATTTTAGTAATTCACTAGAAATGAAATCCTTAAAACTTTTGCAAATAATCTCAGAAAAATGTGCTAACATAGAATGTTTATTAATATTGCATTTATAATATGACTTGGATGAATTTTGAGCTACGCTTAGAATTTAAATACCAATGAATAAGATCATTTCAAAAGCTATGACATCAACTATTCATGCACGTGAAGAGTTGAAAATTTGCAAAAATGGATAGCATAACTTATGAAAATTTATGTTGAAGTTCAGAATTTTGTGCTTAAAGATTTCAGTATTGCTTTAAAAAGTACAATTTTGTATAACTACTTAATAAGTCAATTATTTACTTACATAGTCGGAACAGATTTCTGAACAAGGAAAAATAGGGCAAAGTATAGGATAAATCTGTTGTCAACAGTTTCCTTCTTCTTCATAAAAAGGTAATTTTTTAAGATTTAAAAAGAAATTTTAAAATTTAAGGAAAAGAATTTACTCCTTCCTATCAATATGTTGCAATCCTCAAAAACTGAAAGTCTCTTATCAAACTGCCTTATTAGTCAATGAGTTCTTATCTTAGAAAGGAGGAAAGTTTCCAAAACAGCCAATTAATGAGAAGCCAAGAAAATATACTAAAACAATGCCTTCATTACTTGGCCACAAAAACTAAACGAGGTGTGATAAATGGTCCAACATAAACAAGAAATAAATTATGTGGAAAGTGGAAGAAATCTCATTGTAAAAGACAGATGTTTTGTAAATCTTTTCCTTCTCTCTTTCACCCTTCTCAATAAAAACTCAATCAGTTCTCTCTCTGAAAGTTTTATAGTTGCAACTATGCAAAAACTCTGAGATACAATTTAAGATTTAAAAATTATGAAAACTCAAGGTTGAAAGTCATGAAATTTGTGTGGAACCATCAAAATCCTAGACTCTAAATCTCTAAATTTTGGAAAATAGAGAAGTATAAAATGATATTTGCCATAAACATCTCAATATTATACAAATTAAATTTTTGCTGGATTGGAAGAATTACTAAAGCGAAATGAATTGTTGTACGATACAAATATATTATGGAAAAATCAAAAAACATTACAATAAATGATATAATTGCGCATTGAGTTTATATTTTTCTTGTATGGTGAAATTTCGGAAAAACTTTTTGATGGAGCAAAAAGATGCAATTAATTTCAATCACACAAAATGTACGACAAATTTATGACTGACTTTGCCCGGTCCGTGACAATGATGAACTTGACAGCTTCTGAAATACTGATGTTTCATTGAGTAGGTGAAAAGAAAAAAAAGATAAGCAAATTAATTTGATTTTCTAGCAGAAAAATATAGAGTAAAGGGATATCATAAAAATTTCTGTTGAAATGAATTGTATGAAAGAAAGATATTGCTCTCCGCATTTAAGAAATATTGAGGTGAAGTTTTTGATTAACATTATAAGGCAACATCTCTTTTGCTGCTTTATATGCGGGTTATGACCCGGAATTTCAATGCCGAGATTGATGATGGCTGACTGTTTTTATGTATTTGGATAATGTACTTCGAAAATGTCATGCGGTACGAGTTCCATCGTCTTTGTATCTTCCTCATCTTTCTTTTTGCCTAAATAGTATTAATATTTATTTAATGTTAAATTTATGTTAATGTGTACTGCAAAATATGATAACATCTATTCATAGAGAATCTAAGTAGGATAGATAGAGAAAAAAGTCAACATTTAAATTAATTTCATCAATAATTTAATTTAATTAAACTGATCATGAACAAATGACTAATTAATGTAAGACAATAGACAATTATTTTAAACAACAAATTACTTCGAAATCTTACATTAAAAAAAATTGTAATAGGATAGAGAAATTTGTTATTAAAATATTTTCAGGACTGGGATACTTACACCATTGATGTTCAGAAAGTAGCACTATTGATAGACCAAACATAAATAGAATTGATAAAAAACCCAACACAATATATGAAATGTGTAAAGCAAACAAGTGCCCTGCAATTCAATTCATGCATATTTATTTTATTCTACATTAATCATCCCGAAGTTTACTTATCATTATGAATTCTTCTCGGATCTGTAAACTTGCCGTGGATATTTTCTGCTTTATGGTAGTAGACATAACCACATTAATATTAAATTCTTAGATTGTTAACCTCGAAGTTGAAATTTTTTGACTGTTTCGATGAGAATAGCTGTAAAATTGATAGAACTTGATAGTTCCGCATATACTAAATCGATATCAACGAATAATGTAATGGTGACAACCGACCGCCAAACATATTCCATTTTCCTAACAATAATTAAAAATTGCAACGGCTGTATTCTATCTCAAAATCCTTTCCACGTTTATTGAAAAAAGGAAAAATCTTAAAGGGTAGAATGTTGGAACCCGAGTGAAAACTTATGCTTCTACTAATCAAGCTTAAAAAACCTGTACGATAATATTATTTCATTTAGAGGATACTGCTACTACTTTTTGCTTTGGTAACAGAATTTATTCTTCAAAGCAAAAGCACGCATCTTCATTGAAATATTAAAAATATAACATTATGTATTGCTATTCCGAAGGAAGCCTGATCAAACAAATCTTTTGCATATCATTCAGTTTGTAAGTCTATTTCAACCGCTGTAGCAAAGAAATTATAGCAGAAATATAAGATACCAACTGTTCAGTACTTCCAGGTTAAAAATAACTAAGCAACTTCGATGTTACAATAAAGTTGATTGACTTGTCAGGTGATTTTTATATTTCTATGTAAAATCACAGTGTTCGTTCGTGGCATGGTAATCTTAAATTACAGATTAAAAAATTAAGATGAAAATATGAAAATATGAGTTTTGTTTTGATTTTTGTTCTAGTTTTACAAAATATAAAGAACAAAAAGTCTGCAATTTTCATCAATTAAATCTAGCGCATCACCTTCAGTTTACTGAAATGAAATAAAAGGGAAAAAACTAAGATCGGATATTTATTGGTATTTTTCTATAATATATACAAGGTGAACAGATGGAATATTAAATCATCTTATAATTCGCATTTCTAGAAGGCCGCATTCATCTGCATGATAATCGATTTGGTCAAATGTAATCATCGGACGTGCAGCTGACGGATCCCAGCTATCCTTCGACCATTCTTCGGGCAACGCACTTCCAAATACTCCAAATACCGCAGCAGAAATTAAGAGGAGGGCTGCTAACATCAAAAAGATCACTCGCCATTCATCAGCATCACTGAAAATCACGAAAATCATTCCAGTGAAAAGGGAAAAAATAAAGGATTCCAAAAAATAAGATAAAAGATGTGCAAATTTAGGACGATCTTGTTGTCCCATACATACCTACAAAATTAAATTAAACATCCTACTGTCTTAGAATAATAGTTCACCTATATTCAAAGTGTCATTTACATTCCAACCATAATCACATGTCATTTATCAAAAAGTCAATGTCACTGACTTCTTATATTTAAGTTTAAAGAACAAACTTTTCTTCCACAAAGAAAACAACAGCAGCAGCTGTGAAAAAAAATGCAAATCCAATAAAAAACCGGATATAAGATACAATAAATTGTCCAAAAAAACGGCCCACCAATACAGCACTACGGTAAAACCCATAAACAGAAAATGTTAGAATGCACAGAATCAAAGTGAATGCAGCCACGACACTGAAATTAGACAACTTCGCACACTACATATTTGCAAGCTATTTTATTCTTTTTGCTTTTTGTACGAGAATAAAATAACTCGCAAATTTTTTCTACTTTCTCCTTTTTATAAAAGAATTAAATAGCTCCAGAACTGGACAATTATTACTAAAAATAATGTGATCAATAAACAATGTAGCAGTTGTAATAAAGCTGTTATAACTTTCGATGCAAGCGTTTAATTTATCTGAATTTTATTGATCTTAATGAAACAAAACTGATAAATCTCAAGTTACAATTAAAACATTTAGACATGTTATTAACGAAATCTGCTTGATTTATGAAGCAGATGTCAGCCTAGTTTGCAGTTAAATATGGCAGCCATTTAATGAAGATGTTTGGAGAGATACAAAAGTTGTCTGTGAAATTATCTGTAATGAAATGTTACCTGTGATGAAATGTGCCACCAGGTGGAAATATTGCAAGAAAAATAAAAATCAGTGAACAAATAACAAAAGAGGTAGTGTTGAAGACCAATATTGACATCCTCTCATTAAAAAACTTCGCTAAACGATACCATAACCCATGAAGTTGCGTCATTATAAACTGCAAAGGAAAGCAAACAAATATTATTTGCTGATCTAAAATTAGAAAAAGCAATTTTTTAACAAAAAAAAGTCATTCTCTTTAATCAAGTAACATAATCTGTAAACAAATTATGATCAACTGATGAAATCACTTTGCTCTTTTATATATGAAAGTATGTATGAATGAAAGCACATTAATTTTCATACCATAAACAAAAAAGGTACGGCAGCCAATAGTGCAGAATCAGTGCGAGTTTCGCGAATAATCAGCAAGCAATAAAAGGGTAAAAATTGAATAACAACTGATACCACAAGAAAATAGCCACATGCACCAATCCAAATAGCCCAAACTGGAAACGACATAATCAACAGTCGGCAAGGATTCTTCGCTAAAATTCGATTGTGTTCGGCCTATAAAAATTGGCAAAATTAGATCATAAGTTTTACTTTTTGATAAAGCTTATAAGACCATCAACAATAATCTGCAATTACCATTGACTTTTGACAAAAAATTATTCATCGAAGATGAATAACTTTTTGCACAGTGTGACAATTTTACTTCACAAAATTAAAAGCATTTTTGAACTACAGAAAATCTCTTGTCACCAAAAAATGGGTAAATAGTAATTTCTTGAATGTAGGCAATAATAAACCTTAATTTTTCCAGCCACAATTTTGTTCAATTCCAGTCCATTTACTGAAAAATGATACTGTGGTTTTTCTCGAAAAATTATCAGCCAAATCAATGCCAGTAAGCAGGTTAATGCTGCATGTACCAGAAATGGTGTTCGATAATCACGTATGAATATATATGATGAAATCGGCCAACTAATTAAAGGTGCCAACTGCAACTTACAAAAATTTTGCCGCTTAATGCAAGAACAATGTTACACATTCATCCTTAAGAAAACGGTCTTAACAAATTCCACCNCCCCCCCCCCTTATTTGCATTTTAAATATATATTATCGTTATGATCAGAACTGCCTGGTCAGTTCCACGTGATAGCACTCATAAATGAGTGATCATGCCAGTTGTTCCAAACATTCTTTCGATGACCAACTAGTTAAACTGCTCCTAATCCAAAACGTATGTTTTAATCCAATCAACAAGCAGCATTCCCGTATGGTGCTAATATTTCTTGTAGTGCTTTCTCACTATTTTCAAAACAAAGATTTTGAAGATTTTCAAGTGATAAAATATATAAATAAGCTAACCTGAGTGAAAGATGTGCAACAAATCAAAAATAGAAATTGCTGTTTGAGAGTTCCCCAGTTTGCCGTCACTGAACCGATCATTGGAAAAACACTGGCAAAGGCCAAACCTTGGATAAATCGCATACAAGCTGTTAAATATCGGCCTGAACTATAAATAATTTCAAGATAAAAGTAATTAACATATTCGAAACATCTTTCTTAAAAATATTAAATCTGAAAATATATTTCTTCTCTTAGAATATATCTGTTAGAAAATATATTTCTTAGAAATATTAAACCAACATAAATTTCACGAAAAATAAATTGTGTGCAACATGTGAATGCATAATTACCGTATTTAATATGAGGTGTCATAGCAAGCAAGGCAGTTGCCGCAGCTGATATCAGCATCATAACAGCAAAAAATCGACGACCACCAAATGACTGAAGAGACCAAGAAGTAAAGAATGATCCACAAAACATCCCAATGCCAGGAGCAGTCCAAACAAGAAACTGTTGTATTCTTTCCTTTAGTGTTCTGTATGCAATACCTTCCCTTAAAATATTTCATAGTTAAGCAAAGCATTACATTATCAAAGACATTTAAATAAAGTAGCATATTAAGATTACTAATTATTCCACTCGGAGAATTTTGTTACCATCAGTCAGACAAAACAAAAGTTGGTCCGGCAACATAAGCCGCCAAACAACTTTATTCAGATTAATTCATTCACTTGCTAGAGTGTTTAGCAACAGCTGAGAAAAAACTACCGATTTTTATGTTATCAAATTTGCTTGAACTAGAAATAAACTGACATTTCGATTTGCTGTTTCGATTTTTGGTCATCATATTTCAATTTGTCATCCCACTGCCTATCTTTATCGGGCTGTAGACCATTTTTATAGGTTAGCTCTAGAAGTAAAATAACTATTCAAGATGTAGAGTATAAATAATCTTTCTCAATGCGGAAATGTTTGGAATGAGTTTTTCAAAAAGTATTATGAAAAATAACCAAATAAACTGGGAACTTACGTTCGCTATCCCTATGTTTGGGAAGATTTATAATATCTATACCAATCGATCTAAAAACAAAGCTGTAAAAAAAATCGCTGGCTTAATTCAATCTAAAGAATCTCGAAAATCTCATTTTTTCAATCATTTTTAGAGCAACTCACGAAAAAATAAAAATATTTTACCTAATTGTTGTCGTTTTTTCTTTATTTACATTTGTATCTGTGAACAAATTCCCAGCAGTGAACGTTATATTGTTTGCTAAAAAAGAAAAAAAAAACAATATTTGAAAGTATAACATTAAATTTATTTTTTAAATAGATTTTTAAATAGAAAAAAAACAATATTTAAAAGTATAACATTAAATTTATTTTTTAAATAGATTTTCTTTTGAAAAAGTGCAAGACTACGAAGTTCTGTTGAAGTTTTATGAGCATTATGACCTAAAAATTACTTCTATCTGATTCAAACGTTTCATTGAAATTAGAATTTATTGTTTCCGATACTTTCATGTTCCTTATATCTGAGACGTTCAAACTGCCATCGTCAATAATATTTCGTAAAAATCGTCCTGAAATGTAGGAATGAAAAGCCAGTTATCATTGCATTCCCACCCCACTATTTCAGCTACAAATGAAGGAAAGTGATTTTATCGCACGGTTCGGCAAACATCGTAAGATATTACAAAGGTTTTTCAAACTGACTTTGCAAAATATTAAAACCTAAAGGTAGCAATAATCAAAAAGAAGATATAAAATACTCTTTTCTGTAGAAGTTGGCTGTGTTAAATGTGTTTGCCTCCACAATTGAGTATTCTGCAAAATGTAAACCATAAAATGTTTTTTTATATAATAATAAATTCATAATAACGGCACAATAATTTGACCGATCATTAAAAACGTTCACTCTTCATTAATTTCTTTAAAAAAAGAAAAATGGAAGAAATTTTTAAAAAATTGACGATGGGGAAAATAAAATCGGATTTGTTTTAGCTATTTATTCCAAAATTTAATTCTACTTAAACGCGGAAGTTCTTCAAAGTTAAATCTTTTAGATATAATCAAGTGTCTTCAAGCTTACAAAGTACAAAAATTATCATATGGGTATTCGATTTCAAACGAAAACTAGATTTCAGATTGTTTTGCTAGTATGCAACTGCGAATTGCAAATTTGCTAGTAAAAATCAAATCTTTTCTTTATAGATGCTTAAATAAAATATCGATGTAATTAGAAACTTATGCATTTAATATTCTCGAATTTACTAATCGCTAATTTATTAACTAAGGAACTCCATAGTATGGATAGGTTTTTCACTTCATTTTTAATGGAACATGCTACGAAAATCAAAATTCAAACTAATCTCTATTGAATATCTAAGTATTAGCGAATATAAGATTTCATCTACTACAAGGAAATTGAAGAATAAATTTAAATACGAATGAAATGGAAAATGAAAACAATAAAATGATAAAAATAAGTAACCTGGTAACCATCGTATATTACAGCAATACTGTAGAGATTAATATTGGCAAACAAAATGCTTATACAGGCAATTAATAGTATCAAGATAAGATAGCGAATATTATTAACAAAACAACAATAACTGAGGTGCGGAGATTTCACCATTCGCTAAAATATATTTTCAATTATTAGCAATATATTCGGATAAAATTTTTGGATAGCACTGACCGCAAAATGAATCGAAATGAAAGAATGATTACATTTTTCATGCAAATTAAAATTTCAGAAAATCTTTCGCCCTTTTTCGGGTTTAGTGAAAACGGTAAGCGATAAATGCACAAATTTTGCAAAAATCTCTTCATATAGAGTAAATATCCAAATATTTACTACTAATTACAGGAAAAAAGTACATTTTTCATTTTATATATCAAATTTTAATATAAAAGAACTTCAATAGTATAACAATCTCATCTGTTCTTTTTCATTCAAACCCAGCCTATGCATATAGGCTATTGCTCTATCCTCAATAAAATTTTGTCGCAAATTTCACTAAAACTTCTTCATAGATAAGATATCTGGATTTGAAAAATATTATCAGTGTTAGCAGAAATACATTTGTATTAAAGATAAACTTGAAATGCAAATTTTCCCGAAAAAAAGCAAATAATCAAATGCAATGAACCAATTTAATATCTTCTAATATATTAAAGAAAAATGTGTAAAAATATTTAATTGAAATAACAAAAACCTCTCGAATCATTCAATTTATAGTGCATTTTCGACAATACAATTTATATACTTTGAATAGCATCTTCGATAAAAAGGGACTCGTTTAGTAGGTTGAATTGATGGATGACAATATTAATGTAGCAAAATGATTAATGACAGCTGGTGAAAGAGAGAGAAAGAGAGGGAGAGGTGAACAAGGAGAAAATACAATGACTAGATCGAACCCTATCATTTAAATCTTTCTTTTTTTACAAAGCGAAGGTCGCATATATTACACGACTATGTGTTATTACTAGCAGTACCAACAGATATGAACTCTATGCTGACCAATAATCAGAAAACGAACAACCAATACTGACCACAAAGGGAAAGAAATATCGCGCACGACCTTCCAAAATGTATTCAACAATTTTTATTACTATCTTTAATGCCATTACTTTTATCGAAATGCTCTCAGATGACCTTATTAACAATACGCCTGAGTGGAATTTAAATATTTCGAAACAATCTGAATAAGAGGGATAGCTGATTAACGTGTAAGTTGAAATTATTCAATGATATTCTGTAATTCAGGAATCAATGAAACAATTGTACGACCATCTCTTGAATTGCATCGATCAATATTTCAATGGATAAGGAATTTAATTTGCATTTGATATACAGCATATCCTATAAAATTTATTTTTTTACAAAGATTCTAGCACGACCTATTCCCTGACCTGCATTGCAAAATTCTTAAGCAAATTTTCAGTTCATAGATGGGATGTAAAATAAACCAGTTTTAATCAAAGCTCGATATATGCTCAGAATGCAAACGAAAACAAGTTTTTAAATGATTGACTTGATTTGTTTGTATTGAAACAGTGTTGATCAGGTAGAAGAAGTACTGCAAGATGATGACTAATATAACATTCTTAAAATTTTATTGAATCAGTAAATTCATATATTCCTAATATGAATAATATTAGAATGTGGGAGAGGGGAGAGGGTGTGAGGGTGAAGGGGAGGGGGAAGGATTCACAATTATCAGCAGCACATCAGTAAATATCATTGAAAATCAATTTTGCTCAATTACAAAACAGCCAAACTAATCAGACAACTGGCATTTAAAATAGAAACATTTTCTGCTCATCACTATAACAATGTGTTCGAAAACCGACTTAAAATACTCGAAAAAAAAAACGGAATATTTTGAAATACACGAAAAAAAAACGGAATATTTTGAAATATTCGAAAAAAACGGAATATATCTTGAAATACTCGAAAAAAGAAACAAATAATAAATATTTTTGTTATACACTGCAAAAATGAGCACAATTTAGCGAAGGTATAAAGAGAAAAATAGATGAAATGTTTGTAAACATTGAAGTAATTAATTGAAACTAAAGAAAAGATGAGTGAGAAAATATTAACTGCAATGCTGAGAGAAGAGAAAGAGATCGGATGAAGTATGATGAAATTTCTTTCTTTCACTCATTTCCTTATTTAAATTATCAAAATACAAATTTAAAATTTCAAATAAAGAAAGTATCCTAAAATGAAATCTTTTTCTGAGAATTCAATAAACATTTACAAAAATGTTTTGTCGATTATTTTCAACAATTAAATATGTATAGGGAAGGAGAGAACAGAGTGGAAGAAAAAAAATTCGTTAAATTCTATACCAAAAAAGAGATCAACAATGCAACATATAATAGAGAAAATGCATGTACACACACTTCACATATGTACGTGCGCATTCTGTCTGCGTTGACGATTCTCATCTGACAGTGAAAGGAACAAACTGTAGAACGACTCAGCTTCGCTTCACATCGATAGAGAGGGCTGATGATCGATTCATACGCATTCTCACCTATTCATAATAGCATTTTAACGCGGACAAGATTACGTCATCAAGCGACAACCATGCAATGAAAACACCGTAAATTGTATCATTAATTATTGATTGATAGTCGATCTTGGTTGCTATGAAGACCAGCTTGCTGTAGATATTAGGAAGCATTAATTTTTTTTTAGTGCAGGAAAATTATACGTATTGACATGATTAGCGATTAATCAAAATGAAATCTCTTGCGTGTTGCTGCTGTCAACAACTGCGTTTGTGAATAAATTTCTGAAGCATTCCATTTTAAGAACGACGATTTATTTCAATCGAAATGAAAATATTATACAAAATGAAGAGTAAAGTAACAGCAAGACGATAGCACAGATAAAACGATACAAATGACTAATTGCATTCAAGAAAACGATTTCATTTCCTTTATCTTTAAACATCGTTGACTCATACCAAATCAATATACCTTAGTTTAAATCGCTTCTCCAATATATTTTATATATAAAATTGAAATGTACATATCATTTTTTTTAATATATTACTTGCTGCTACTTGACTAGTCGTCTTCATCAAAATGTGCAAACCGAGGTCTGGATGGCATTTGTAATGTCCCATCATAGTCAGGAGCTGGTAACTTCGAACGATCCACGTCAGAATAATAGGGATGTTTGAGAAGTTGTTTGGCTGATGCACGCTTGGCTGGATCGTATGTAAGTAAGAGCTGAAAGCACAAAAAAAGTTGCATTTACCAGTACGCATAATTCCACGTGCCATTCAACAGTTTTCTGTCTTTAAGTTTATCGTGATAGCGATAAATATTCCAAGCATAAAATATTATTGAATTATATATTAAAAATATAAAAACAATAAGAGTTGTTAAGATGAAAACTACATTGGCATTTGGAACGCTGTTATATTTATCAGTAACAAAAAGCTGTTATATTTATCAGCTATACACGATTATCATGTTAATTCTCATTACTTTCACAAATTTGGTGTTTTATTTTAATTTTGATAAAGTATAAGATCAATTTATACGAAGCAAACAACAAACTAAATTCAAAGAGCATAAAAAGATTTTTATCTTCAAATGAGCCATTAAACAAACTCGAATTATGGCGATACCGATGGGATCCAGGTAAGCGCTGAGCAAATTATCAAGATGATCATGTTCGAAACGAGGAAATATAATATGCGAATAATATGGTAGTTCCGATACTCCTTTCCAGATCTCTTCTGTAGGCGTTTTCAGTCTTCTGACAAGAAAGCATTGTATCATAAATCATTATATTTCCTACGTAAAGTATACAAAATAGTAGAATAATAACTTTTTTAATCAGTGATTTTGAGAATAAAATTTTTTTGAAGTTTTGAACTCCTAAAGCACAACTAATAAATAAGACATATTAGCAAAATATTATAAACTTTATTATTTCATTCATTTAGCAAAAGAAAAACGAACGAAAATATTTCTCTTAGCTGGTCTATTGATGATGTCCCAGGAAAGAGAACATCTTTCGTGGCCATCTGAGCAAATATACATCCAATACTCCACATATCGACTGCTGTAGTGTATCTAAGCGCTCCAAGAAGTATTTCAGGTGCTCTATAGGCTTGCGTTACTACCTTAATTTTAGATATATTCAACAGAGCACAACAAACAATATCCATGCAGAAAGGCACATATAACTCACTTGGTTTGTATAAGCACGTATTGGTATAGTGAACTCCCTCGCTAAACCAAAATCAGCAATTTTAATAGCACCATAAGTATTGAGTAAGAGATTTGATGGTTTCATATCACGATGCAGAATGGCTCGCTGATGACAATAGCACATTCCTTGAAGGATTTGATATTGAAATGATTTCTGCTAAAATGCATTAATTTGACATTGTAGGTGCCACCAATTACATTACTAGTTTGAATATGCATTACGACTTGTTAGCATATTTAATAAACGTTTTTGACAACAGACAAAGTCCTAACTAGTCCAAAACATTTTTCCTATAAATATAGCAGAACTGAGACAGTCTCCTGAATATCAAATATACACATCATTTCCGCTGATGATACTGCCGTTTACTAATTAGAATACCAGATCTATCTGGACTCTGATTTCATGAGTTCATTGGTGGTGATGGAGTCGTATGATGAGCAATATAACCAGACATTAGCACTTCAAATGAAGTCTGTAATGTCAGCTGAGCAACCGTTTGTTTTTTTTTTCTATTCTTTGGTTAGATCGTTGAGTATAGTTAGTACAGTTTAAATTAATAGTAAATTTTAATTGTGTTTGAAATTAAATAATGACATAAACAATGCATTATAAGATATCAAACGTTACAAGCCATCGTTCCATGAAGATATTTTTGGGTAGCTGCTTCAAATATTTCCACAAATCGATATATAAATATTCAAAAGCTAAGTGTACATTTGTTTCATCAAAAATTACTTCTTCCAACCTGAAATATGTAAGAAATTTTAACGCTAAAAAAGGAAATGCTTTACTGAACCTTTGGTACATTAAACAAAACAACTACTTTGAGTCTCCTCGATATTTAAATAATGCAAGAAATTCTTGATTCTGCTCACTAACCGTACAATATTTGGATGATCCAATTCTCTCATAATTGATATTTCGCGTACAACATTAGGTTCAAGCCCGTGGGCAGTTCTGTCAAAACAAAGACATTTCAAGGCAACAAGCTTCCCGGTTCGAATGTCAGCTGCTTTGAAAACCAAACCGAAACTGCCTCAATTAATTAATACTTTTCGAGCTAAACTTATATATGTTCATGTTAGTCCAATTTTGTAATTAAATAAGAATGAAATTTGCGTAATGTATGCAAGTTTTAATTAATTGTTTAAGATGGATTTTCAGTCCTTTCCCAAATACCGAATTGGGGTAAAATGAAATAATGTCACTAAGATGACAAGATGTCTTTTTTATTGTTATTAAGCAATCGGTTGAGATATGTTGTAAATTTCATTATATTATTTCAAAATAAGCCGATTCTAACAAATAATTCATCCTAGAGATGCAAGGATGCATTAATAAGAAATTGTCACCTTCACCAATCGTCTCTATTTTGGAATAATACTGAAGTCCATCTTCCGAAGTGGTCATATCAAAACTGTACAAGAGCGAATAAATGATTCTTCCTTCAAAGATATATTTTAGTCATTTATTTTACAATTTGTTGGATGAATTTAATAAATTCTAGAAATTTTTCAAACCTATTAATTGAAGAATTAACTATTACGACCATCGAAAGAAAGTTTACGAAATTAAAACAGTCTTGAAACATAAGTACAGCTATTGTTCGCCTCCCTGTGTTTATAATACTTTGTAAAATTACCCATACTTCTCAATCTCAATCCCTCGCATTCCGTTCAACTTAAATATTAATTTGCCGAGAAATCTCGGCTCACTCCAAAGTTATGACATAAATCTCCCCCATATCGTCCTCAATTACAGATTTCTAAGTGGTTTCTTTAAGCTTAACAGGTTTGAAGAATGGAATTTTTGAATGGCATATGTGAGACACTAATGTTTGCCCTAAACTAACGATACGTATCAAGAACCATGAGCGGAGGGGAAAGATCACCTTCTGTGTCCGCCAACCTGTAATATTGGTAGATTACAATGATCTCCTATCCCTATAAGTTGTGAAAGATGAAGCTATCAATATCATGTTTTTCTTCACAGAAAGATCAAAACTCAATCCTCTAAGTGGTAAGCTATTTATACCACAACGACTAACGGATAAGCAATATCTTGCTAGCGCTAATACTGACACGGACAATAATAACGAAGCAAAGGCCGATACAACAGAACTGAACCACAAACATGGCTACCAGTTACTATTTGAGAAATTTACTGTGAACCATCACGACAAATATGTCCTTCAATGCAGTTCCAAGACATATTATTTGTGTACTTACTATTTGGCCAAACTATTTTTAAAACAAAAGAACAGAAACAACACTTCAAAACTACTTATTGTTTAGAAATCTTACGCTGAGAATATCAATATCAACATCTAATATCATTTTTTATGATCTATAATCCCACACGTGATGAAAAAGCATCAAACTGAATTAATGCTCCGTAAATATTTTAACATTTTGGCGAAAATTTCTTTTGGAAAGCAATTTTCTTTATAAATTAATATTTGATAGCTCGTTCACTTTTAGCAAGCTTATTATACCCAGCACTATTTCATACATTAAACGTGAAAGAAAAGTCCGTTCAAAGGAATCTGTTTATTCTATTCTAAGGGAAAAAAGACAATAATTTGCATTTGTACGTGCGAAAGCAAAACTCAAGATACATGCATAAATGACACCTGAAAAAAACCTTTTTTTTTCAAATAAAACAAAACTTCAGGCAAATACAAAACATTTTGAAGTGAATGCTTAATATTTATCAGTAAATGTCATACTTAGATATGTATATCAAAAACAAACAGAATAAACTGAAAGCACAGCCACTTTTTGTGACAAAAAAATTTAAGATAAAATCAGGTATATCGAGGCGGTAAAACCAACGTTCCATCATAATTGCCAGCTGGAAGTTTTTTCCGATCAACATCATCAAAGTATGGATTCTTCAGCAGTTGTTTCGCAGAGATTCGCTGCGCTGGATCGTAAGTAAGCATGTTCTGTTAAGCACGTTTAATAAACGCAAAACCCAAAATAATTTTCATCTAAAGCAAATTATCAAAACCTGAAAACTTGAGATATTTAAACTCCCAATAAACTAATTCTTACGCGTAAAATTTGAATTCCTTCGGGGTCCATGTAAGGTTCAAGAATTTTGCCGAGACCATCTTCTTTCCACTGAGGGAATGACATCTTGAAATCTGGAAGCTGGGTAACTCCGTGCCACATTTCTTCAGTGGGGGTCGACATTATTCTGAAAGAAAAAATCAGAGACAGTATAAAAAGAAAAATTAGAAAAATCTGTATAAAAACAACAGACCGAAAAATGCGAAAAATTTGATCAATTTCCGAGTCACCCTGAAACAGTGGTACTTTTGTAGCCATTTCAGCAGCAATACATCCAATGCTCCATATATCAACTCCCATCGAATAGCGAGTTGCGCCAAGAAGTACTTCAGGAGCTCGATACCAGAGAGTGACAATCTGTTAGAGTACAATTTAATAGAGTGTAATCTAAAGAATATTTTCATGGTAAAATTTTTAGCTACTGAAAGTATAAGATAAAAATAAAGAGCTTACTTCATGAGTATAAGCCCTTATTGGAATACCAATAGCTCTTGCTAGACCAAAATCGGCAAGCTTGATTGCACCATTTTGGTCTACCAATAAATTTTGTGGTTTCAAATCACGATGAAGAACACGCCTCTGGTGGCAAAAACAAATAGCTTGCAATATTTGATACAAGTAAGATTTTTGCTGCAATAAATAAACTATTCATCATTTAGTTCATTAGATGTGTCATAATCATCACTATAAGTACTGTTCTTTCCGCTTGGTAGAATATTTTCTTTTAAAATGCGAAAAGAAAGAAATTCACTGACCTGTTCTTTGCTCATCAACTCACAGTCAGGAACTGTATCAATATATTTCTTCAAATCCATATATAGAAATTCAAAAATTAGGTACAATCGATTCTCTTCAAGTATAATTTCTTCAAGACTAAAAATAAATCTTGATCAGTGTCAGTTATATGACTCGGATAATAACCTTAGTTAATATTCCACAATTGGCCGACAAAAGCCCTAGTGTTGGGGTTCTTTACTGTTCATAAACTTTGCCAAAATATACAACTCCATTCTTTATTTTTCCCGTCAAATTTTCAAAGAAAGCGATCATTGAAAAACCAACGCAACGATATTTGGATGTGTTAATTCTCGAAGTAGTGAAATTTCTCGAATTGCTGTTGCTGGTACACCTTCATCTTCATTTTCCAGACGAATTTTTTTCATTGCAACCAACTTTCCCGATCGTTTATCAATACCTTTGTAAACAACTCCATATGTTCCTGACAATATTTTGAAAAAAAAAAATTTTTTTTTCTAACATTTCAAACATTATACCGTGAATTAATAGAGGTGCAAAAGAAACTGCATTGGAGAGTACTGATAAAACAAAGTAGAAACTCAGAGAAATCGTAAGGCACACTAATGCAACTAAGTATAACATGTGGTTTGCCAGCTCACCAATATCTATCACAATATAATAAATTTAGTCGATCAAGCAAAATGGAGTAGTCAGAATTACCAAGTCTTTATGTGAGTGTGCAACTGAATCATTATGAATAGATGTGCCATATTGAAGGGTCAGTAATTGTATGATAAGAAATTTTAGAAGAATACCTTCTCCAATTTTCTCAATTCGACTATAATTTTGCAAAGCACTTTCTCCCGAGTCCATTCTTTGTAATGCAGGAGACCTGGAAGGTCAATAATTTTTATTTCTAAAAATTGAAAATTATTAATCATACAATGACAGCTTAATATCCTTTCATTTATTTTAATATTGGAAACTGCTTATCGATTAATATATTTTAAGCATCCAGTCGCTGGCTAAATTTTTTGTGATCGTAATCAAAAGTCAATTCTATCAACTCATTTACGAATATAAAAAATTAGGTGTGCAAACTATTAAAAATTAACTAGAAAAAGCAGTTGGCAACATTAATCTAACTATTGGTTTTAAGTACCGTTTAATTGCCTATCTTCAAGCAATATGCGAGCAATAGTAGGAAGTGATAAAATGAAAGCTTATATCTTCTTTAGGTTCAAAAATTCTCGAAAATTGACAAAATTAATCCTAAATACAGAGAAATAGAGCAACGAAAAAGAAGCTCGATATCTAGTCAAAAAACATAACTAAGTATTTCATTTCAAAGAGAGTTGCAAGAGCAATAAATTTAAGGCATGAACCAATATATCTATTTATGATTGATCACTAAAGCAGCTAAGATTTAGTAAATTTTACATCGATGAGCTTAGTTACCAATTTCTGACGAGCAAATGATGAGTGGTAACATGCAAAAACATTCTATAAACTTCACAGAATAGCGGAATATTGATCAGATTTTGAGGAAATCAAAAACATCTCCGATAACATCGATAAACTTCGGAACAATCATGAGAGCATGGGAAACCACATGTCAATCATTATATAAACCAACTAAGGCATAGTCAACAACCACAATGCTTAATTTCACACAGCACCTGCCACGACAACCCTCTCTACTTGCAAAATAGACGTAACCTGCACCTATCCCCTCGTACACTTCCATAAGCCAGACCGTAAAATCGATTCTCCCGGGAAACCACTCATTCAAATTTGATCACCAGTTTGGCGCTTCCTCGTGGATTTATGAAACAGGGATGTCTCACGGTAGCAAATATTAGCCTGGCCATTGAGCAAGCATGTAATGTGCGGACTAGAAGGCTAATTAGATCTTGGAGGATTCTTTCCCGAGAGTTTAATGTCGACTGATTTCCTGGCTTTGGTCTAAATGTGCATATATATAATGTGCCTTGCGTAATTGAATTGCTATGTGTACGAAGTTGTATGAATAATAATTCACTGCATATGAGGTTGAATTCCAATTTCAGAAGTGAAATTGGATATCAGGAGACTGAAGGGTAAGCAGGTTGACACATGACATATAACTTGTTTTTGTGCACACTACTACTAATATTAGTTGAATGATGTACATGATGAGAATCATAAGAAGTAACAAATGAATAAAATCTATGAAACACGAAGGAATCACTGGAGGTTTTCTTATGCTCGAGTTTTCTTCACAATGAGCGGTCCCACATTATCACCAGTGACCTGGTTGTGCTTGTTGTGACTACCATCACAATAAGGCCACTGCAATAAAGCGTCCATCAAATCTATGTATCAAATATAACATGAACTAGGAATCAAAAGGTGACTGATATCAAGTACAAGAATATAATGCACAATGGCAGATAGCTGAAATACAACAGAAATTAGAAAATTATCATCTTATGAAGCCATTTTTGATTTCAGTTTCTAAATATATGATATAGAATTAAGTTCTATAATTGCTATTATAAAAAAATCTTTTGTCTCCGTGAAATCTGTGGCACAAAATGCTAAATATAAACTGATGCTCAACGCTCAAACTATTTGATCATCATTTATAAAATTGTAACTGGCAAATTCTACTTATACACGTTGCCCGTCTTAGTGATTATTTCTTCTTAACTATCCATTTTTTTTTTTTTTGTTATATATTAAGAGGATATTAAAGGATATTAAAATTGAGGATGACGTCCTTCAAAACATTTGATAAATTATATATTCACTGCATTCTAATCGGAGATGATCTAGTAACCATGATGATCTTGGGGGATATTTTTTCCATAAGAACTTTTTCATACTTAAAGAACAAAAAGTCATGTGAATTTTTTCGTACTTAAAAAATAAAAAATTAGATGAAAAACAAACAATGTTGAGTAAATGACTAATCAGAGGGTGAATATATCATGCCTAATAATATTCAATTTAGCAACGTTAAAGTAATCTGTTTCAAAACTAACATTATTGCTTTTCCAGCATCGACAGAATACTTCCTGCTCACCGATATCTTCTAAATCAACTGTTTCCGCCACCTTGAAATAGAAAATAAGTAATGTTTTTTTTATGATGAATTTTTCCATCGCATTAGTATCAAAATTAGAATCACTAGAAAGATTATGTGTTAACGTCGACGTTATTTCATTACGTTATTTCGTTCGTGACATTACTACAGGAAAGACGATCATCTTTTTAACAAGCGGCCAATAATGTTACCCCAGACGATTCAATTTAATACAGCGTTAAATGAATTAACGACGATTGTAACTGTTTCAGATTAAGTGATAATCTGAAAAACTTTAAGTATAAGAATTACTTTATCAGTGGAAAGTTTGATTTTATTGTTGACGCGAGCTTTCTTTTTTGACAACAGAACTCCAACGTAATATCCAAACAATGCGGACCCAATCAATGCGCCAATTCCAAGCAACCAATCCTTCACTGTGCGACATTCTGCTAATAAGCGAAAATACGACTTATTTTCAACTAAACACTTCCGAATATACAATTGGAATTGTATGACTTTTGACAAACTGGCACTAAAAGATTTTTTTTGAATTTTAGCAGAAATTGTTAAATGTAAACATACGAGCTTCTTGAAGTGGATTATAACCCATAACTCCAAATGTTCCACTCACTGATTCTGCAAACAGTTACAAAAAATAAATCAATTTTTTAATACTTTCGAGAAACAAAGTGCTACGGTAAGTTAGAATGTAGTTTCTACCAATCATTGAACATAACATTCGCTTGGTAAAATTTATCTGTTCTTCAGCAGTACAATATACATCGTTTTAATAACAAATAATCAAAAATAATGGTAATAGCAACAATAAAACAATGAAATATCAAATTAAAATGTTTTCTGGCAATGAATTCGTGCTCCACGATTTATTACTACAAGTGTCGAAAAAGTAGCAAATATGTTCGGGAAAACAACAACATGCGAAAATATACCATCAATATCACAATCACAAATGCCCATATCACCCAATGATTCTTCGTCGGATATTGGACATGGACGCTAAATTTCGAGAATTAATAACATATCGATAAAATGAAAAATATTTCAAAATCTATTCTGCAAGTATTATAATTACTATCATGATGATAAATCAGGATCAGGTAACCGTCGAAATACGGCAGGCCACTTTGATCCTTCATTACGTGTTACTTTTTGGCCTTCTTCCGTACTATCGTAAAGCATTTCTACAATTGGATCCGTTTTCATTGCCAAATCGGTTAAACGTTCAAATAAAGGATGAGCTGAGATATGCTTCACCATCCAAATGTGCAATTCTTCAACATCTGTTATCGTATAAATCATCCCTCAAAAGATTCTTTCTTAATAATGACTCTACTTCATTTTTTTGCTAAATGGAATCGAAATCTAATATTTCAACCGCTAAATCAGAACTTAGTTCATTATCGATTAAAAAAATGTAATTTTAGCATGCTCTTGCTGTAGAACAAAATGTAAGCGAAATAACGAGAACTATATAAATTAGGCATTGTCTTTTCACAGTGCATAGAAAACATGATTTTATAGAGCAGTGATCGGATGCAGCCACATATTTGTCAACAAAAAAGGAGTGGAAATAAATAAGTTGCCCGAAACAAACACTTGCAATTTCAGTAGAAGAATTATTACCTCCTGGTTCCAAAACATAAGCATATTCAGCTATTAGAGTTGGTGTGATAATTCGCCATTTATGTTTCGCTTTCTTAAAATGCGGATCTGGATAGAGAAAAAACATCTTGGTAAGCTGATGTCGACGGAAGTAATTTGGTAAATATTTCATTGCATTTGTTCGAAGACATGCTACATTTCGGTATTTTCCTGGTTCTCGCACGCGCAGAGCAAGAATTTTGTCTTGCACATAGTCGCTAACCTAGGGATCAGGACGGTTTTAACAAGACTTCTGCAATTGCTTGAAAAAATGCAATCCTTGTAAAATATTATTTCATCTCGTTTACTCTGCTTAAAATATTTTATTTTATTTTTTGGAGTCAGCAAAAAACTGTACAACTGCGAAAACTAATAAAATAATTGCTCTTTTATTCGTATTTATTTTCACACTTCTCATCAGAAACTTCAATTTTTAACAATCAGAAATCCTCAATACTGCATTAACTCTCAGCAATAAAACTTAACTCAGCCACAAAAACTGTGGCTCAGCATTGCACAACTCAAATAGAATAGTTTAGTTACCAGTGTAGTTGAATAACTTACTTTGACTCGAATCTCCAACCCAACCATCAGAGTTTCTGGATATAAAGCAGAAAGTTTAATCAGCAAACCTCCATAGCCACAACCAATATCAACAAACTCTACCTGACGTCCTTCGCTGAAATCGCCAAAATAACTCTTCCAGTCCATCCTTAAAATCGGTTTATTGCACATTGATAAGATTTATTTTATCTGTCGGAAAACCCGAAATTAATTCCTAACTGTAACTAAGTAACTGTATTTCTTTTAAAAAATTGCATAATCAAATGATTGTTAATTTAAAAGAATTTCCTAATGATTCATCATCCGTAATGAAGCTTTGCAATGCTTCGTGTAATTAGCAATTCTCATCACAAAAACTATTCCATACCTAAACTTTTATCTCAAATATTCCTTCTCAATCCCAAATACAGATTTATCCTTAACATTTCTCTTGTAAAAACCATTCTTTCCCATAACTATTTTTGTAACTAATCTACTTGTATCATGACACATCCATTAATCACATCCTGCTTAAGAATTTAAATTTCCAAATTTTTATAACGTTTTATTGTTGACTTAAATTCTCGTCTTATCTTTATCTGAATCACCGTAACTTCAATGACAAAGTAAATCGTTGCACAAAGTCGTCAGCAAATCAACGATTCAGCTAATCAATCGCAAACCACCTCACAGATCAAATCAATTTAAAACTTTCACGACATTATTAAAAATGACACAACATCAACAATTTAAATTTATCCAATAAAGTGGTTTTATCTTACATGGGCTTAGTTTTGAAGTCACTAAAACATCCCAAGAGTGAGAAGCGTAATAACAGGCTCGAAATACAGTTGAACAACATTTCTGAACAATATGTGAACAGAGTTTTCATTGCATTTTTCTATTCAAAGCAATCTATTTAGATGTAGTTTCAGCAAACAATAGTTTAATCAATTAGAAATAAGCTAATCGCCAATTGGAAGTGAGATTGCAAATGCATTTATCAATATGGTATAAGCAGTGTTGATATTCGTAAATTCAACCCATTAGTTGAATCCATTAAAAAAAAAACCACTTACTGTTCAGGTAAAATCGGATAATCAAATTCATGATCACTGATCGGATTCGCATGAGCCCTTTGTCGGTAGAATTTTTTCTGTGGCAATTCTGGCATTTCTTCACCAACTGTACCGTCACTTTTCTTCGCAACTAGCTCAGTTTTATTTTCTGCACTGTTCATGTTTCCACAACAATCATACTCTTCCTAAATTATTAATAGATTGAATCCGTACTATATAGACATATGTCAGCAAAAGTGCTATTAGTTCTTGTTTCCACCAACCTCTATAAGTTCAACATTTGTGCTAACTAACTTCCACCGAAGAAATAAAGGTTGGCTATAAACTTCCAAAGCATAGCAATAGTTAGTATAAACAGTCAATGTACATTTTACTATAAATCAATGAAAAGTGTCTTGCAAAATTTAACATTACAGTAACCAAGACATGCTCACATTTGATAAGAATTAGTCTGCTGCAAATCAGAGTATGAAGTTACCAGAACAATCAGGAACCATGAATGCGGTTGTGACTTGCGTTCCAGTTACTTGGTATCATTCATTACTAACATTCTTTATGCACGCGGCAAAAATAAACCATAATTTAAAGTATTTCAGATATTTATTTCAAACAAGCGAAGTATCAAACCTGCGTATATTTGATCTGCTGCATCTAAGATTCATAGTTTATTTGATAAACATGATATTTGCAAATTGATATCACAGCAAACATTTTAATAGAACAACATGAGAGAAAACAATTGGAACTGCATCACAGTCACTTATAAAGTGTGATTTTTTAAATTAATCATATAGAATCTTAACACACTTTAAAGTAAGTTGTAGATATTTCGCAACATTGACGTTCGATTCTTTTTAATTTGATTTTTATATGATACTCTTTGTAAAAATAGTTTAGCTCTGGAGGAAAAAATCAAACACAAAAATTTAAGTACGTATTATCAAAACAAAGAATTTCAGCCAGAATTAAGCTATGAAAATTAATCTGTAAAGTAGATAAATAAAGCCCAAATCTATGTCATATATCAAATCATCTAAATATCATTAAACTAAAAAACCATCCTGTTCGCAAACCGAAAATAATAAACATGGAAGAAAATAGATTTGGCACTTACTCCACTGAAAAAATTATTTGATTACGAAAACATCATTAAATACAAATAGAAAGGAAGACCAAAAGCTTAAAATAGAAGAAAGGAATGACACGAAACCATTACCAGTACTAAACAGCATGACCATAGCAAACCCGGCGCTCTCCGTGGAGAGCATAGCTACACACCACCTTACTAAAATTTTATAAAAATTTAATCAAATTATTTAATTGCACAACTTTCGTTTACTAAACTTAATCATTAAAAAATTCATGATTTCTCATAAAACGAGCATTAAAACTTTATAATAGTCCATTATAAAAAGAATTAAAACTCTAACAGCATATTCTGAATGGACAGATTTATGTGCTACAAACATGTAAACACAATTCATCTATGCCTAAGATATAGAAACTATTCATTTTTGCAATTTTGAAGTCAGAAAATCTATAGGTTCAGCGAAATTATGTTTATACGTTAATGTGTCTACATTCTAAGTACATCATCAGAATATGCATTTTTAATAGCATGAATTCTTATCGAGAATGCTCAACAACTTGATTTGATTTTTTCTGTCCTGTGAAGATATGATGTTTCCTGCGTTTAACCGGTAATTCTATAGCGGACACCTAAACTTTAACATTCTCATGAATATTCATAATAAACTTTCGTAAGTTCAAAAAAAATTCCAACTATTCCCTGCAAAATATAATTTGGACTTTCAGATCTTAATTCACGTCTTTATATGTGTTAGTATGCACTAACGGTCTTTTTGCACTGATAATAATAAATGAAAAAGTGAATCTGTAAAATTAAGCACCGAATTTGTCATTTAATCTGTCCAAAGTATACTGCTGGGTTCAAAACAAACCTGAAGAGGCCAACCGCCACCAATAACACCAGCTTGTACCGAAGCACCAGTCACAACAGCTAGTTCTGGATCAACACCATGATTTGGTGCCTTGCTGAAAGTAATGAAAGCGACAGTTAAAGTTTTGAATTTCAAATAATTTATTCAGAATGAAGAGCAAAGAATTCATATAGATACTAGAGTGCTCAATCTTTTATTTCTTTTAATTGTTATCGACACGATAATCTATGCTTAAACTTTTTTCATGTTACTTTCACTCGTTCAGTTTCCTGCAATAATATGCAGTTTCAGATACTAAGGAATTTACCCGAAATAGCGGCCCACAACGGAACGCACACGTGGAATGCGAGTTGAACCACCAACCAACACGATTTCATCGATTTCGGATGCTTTTATTTCAGCGTCATTTAGAGCCGCTTCTATTGGTTCTGTGATACTTTCAAACAAATCTTCGTTCAAAAGTTCGAAGTTCTCGCGCGTAAGCTGAAAGTGAAGACTATATTTCATAGTTTTTTCCCCACAGAAGATGTACAAAAGTGAGATTTTTAAATAATTTCAAAATCTTAAAATCTTATAATCATTACTCTATAATGCATCTTTCCAAGTGATCGTAAATTTAAATCAATGTTAGTGACAGGAAGTGTGGTGAGCTGAATTTTTGCAGATTCAATCGCAAGGCGTAACTGCTGAATATCTTCTTTATCATCGAGCACTTTGCCATAATTATCCGCTATATGCTATAAATGAAAAAGTGTACACGAGATCTAAGATATAATTATAACTGTGTCACTTCTAAAATATTTAAAAGTAATATACGTCAATTTTAATTAAAAATCGACATTAACTTGATTGGATAAACATATGATAAATAAAATTCAAGCAGTTTAAGTACTTTGTTGCGCACAAAGCATCGTATACACTTCAATTTCAAAACTATCAGAATTATGACTACCAAAAATATATTACTTGTATCAAATGATTTTGAACACGATCATTAAAATCTTGGCCGCCAAGCCTATTGTTGCCAGCCATTGCTACAGTCATAAACATACCTCCCTGCAACCACAATATCGAGACATCCAATGTACCTCCACCTTAAATTAAGCCATAATATAACAAAATAAATCAAAAAATGAAAGAGAAGTTCTAATGCCCACTTCAAAAGAATAGAACAAAAATAATGTCTAAAATGCAATACGTTTTGCAATATTATGGATTTTATAATAACCACATATTACAACAATATATAAAAGCTGACCCAAATCAACCACAACAATATATTCAACGTTTTTTTTCTTATGTAAACCGTAAGCAAGGGCAGCCGCGGTTGGTTCACTAATTACACGACGGCTTTCCATTCCTAAAAATTTAGTGTAATTAGCAGAAGAAAATATCATGTATAAAGACCTAATCTTTATGCAAATGAATTTAAGAAAATAAATGTGGCTCAAATAACGTAATGCTTGATGATAATTTTTCTCGTGATTGATAACAAACCCGCTTTTTCAAGAGCTAGTACAGTAGCATTCCGTTGTTTATCATCGAATTCAGCTGGAACAGAAATAACTGCTTGAATGATTTCATTCCCATATTTCTTCTCAGCTGCTTTTCGAAGATAATTTATTATTATGCCACCAACTTCTTCCGGTGTTATTTTTCTAAAAATAATAACAAGTTGAGGAATTCCTTAATTCTGAGAAATCAAATAAAACTTTCACAAAAGAATTTCTTCCAAGCAATGTTTCACTTCATATCTCAGAAGTGGATTTGAAGAAGCTTCTCCCATATTCATATCTCAGATGTGGATTTGAAGAAACTTCTCCCATACTTCATTCCAATATTTTTTCTCAGCTGCTTTTCGAAGATAGTTTATTATTATGCCACCAACTATGAACTTACTTGATAACATTATTGTCCACTGGTATAACAAAGAGTGCTCGTCCTTCTGCATCTAACTCAATTTTAAATGGATACCGTCTTCTATCAGCCTGAAAAAAACCCTCGAAAATCAGAACTCCATTACTTTAAGTCTAAAAATTTTTATATTTGAAAAATAAATGCAACACAATTTTAAATACTTTGACTCGCACTTCTTTCTACGCTATTTTTGTTCCACCATGGAAATATGTCATGATATAATAAAACACTAAACGTGTTGTAAAACTGATTATAAATAAAATATCATACCAGCTTCATAAGTAGCAATATAAAAGTGTCACCTGAAATTGTGGATCGTCTTCAGATAACTTTCTGCCAATAAAACGTTTGGCATCATATATTGTTCGCAAAAGATTATGCTCTTGTTGTTCAACAGCCTTTGAACCCACAATTACAGTACCATTTGACCTGTGATATTTAAATAGCACTAGAAAATGAAAGCGACCAGAATTTTATTAATCGTTAGGGGACAAAACGAGTGACTGCTAACAATAACTTACAAAAATGCAACAACACTTGGAATACTTTGTCGTCCCGTTTCATCAGTAATTATATCTGTCGCTCCAGTGACAGCCTGATATATACCAATTGATGAAAACGTTGTGCCCAAATCAATAGCAGCAATTTTTGGTGCTGGAGGAGGTAATCCGTACTTTCGAGCAAAATAACCAGCCAAAAGTAATGACAGTAAAGATGTCCCTGAATTCGTGGAAAATGAACAATTACACTACATTTTACAATTAAATTTTCAAAATGCAATTTGAAAAATGTAATATTGTTTTCAAAAGGTGAGGAACTTCTGATAACATAACATGCTCCGCTGATCCTTCTTGAAGTTTTATTTTACTTGTATTGTTGGAAATGAACAGAAAGTACATATAGTACGGAGAGGTAGAACATATTGAATCATGCATGACGTAAATAGTAGGATGTGATTTACCTAATAATGATAATGATAACGACATGTGCGACCGTAGCGTCGAAATCTTCAAATGTGAGTCTCAAAGATATCTCCGTTATAATATGGATGGTATCATCGTACACTGTAACAGTCACATGATTACGTGTTACTTTTATTCCGCAATGTACGTTACTGTTGACGCAGCAGTTAAATAGATTAATTTAAGATAGAAAAAACACCAGGTATGTCAAATTACTGGAAAAATACTGTAGCACACCTTTAACTACAATCAAACATAGCCGAAAAATGACAACACATAATTAACTCTCTACGGCTGACCGCAAAATACCGATCTTCTTGAAATCAATATAGGAAATTTTCCCGAAATAATTAAGTTGGGGAGTTTTTTAGAACAGTAAGATAAATTTAAGTATTTAGTTTATAAATTTCTCAGCCTCATGAACATTCAAATATTTGAGGATTTGATTTCAGATATGAAGGAAGGGATATCAATGAAATGAATTATTTGTAATGGTTGTTCATTGTACTGAACGGTTAGCTTCTAACATCCTTTCAAAAGGTTACAAAAAATTTCACTGCGATTTTAGTGATTTTCAAATAGGTTAATGGGTAGCAAGCCGACCATACGAGAACTCGTTTAATACTCCAGTTTAGTGAATTAGCATGATCTAATGGTAATTGCCTACAGCATATATTTCCATGTTGTATTTTGGTTCCAAATACCTTGATCCTTGCATCTATTCAGGCCACAGAAACAGGTCATAAATTCAGACCAGAGAAACAGGTCAAAAATTAAAATTTTTTTTTAAAACAAGTAATGAATAAATTATAAGATCAAAGATGAAAGTAAACGTGAAATTAAAGGACTACTAAAATTGAAAAAAAAAACGAACAAAATTTTGAACTTGAAACTATTCAAAAATTTTATGGTCTTAAAAACGCAAATAGCAAATTTTATAAAATTTCAGTACTAAATCGAATGTCCCGAAATTTGATAATTCAGCACTGTTTGCCATGTCCGCCACTGCAGCAAGAAGAAGTTGACCAACTTATTCATGGAATGTTGAATGCTTGCGGTGGAGAACGTCCCCTTAGTGAATTGATCAGTTTGGAAAAACTTTTTTTTGTAAGGATGATTTGAAATTGAGAAAACGCAAGAAAGAATGAAACTATAATAATAGTTGTTCGAAGAAATTTGAGATTTGACTCATTACTGCCGACTTGCCGAAAAATGAATCATCCAAATATATGTGATGAACTTTACTGACCTCCTTTGGACATATGATGTGTGTACATCATCTTCGAATGCCTTCAAACACCAACAACAATTTATCGGAGAAGAAGGCGACAGTTACATGGCGGAACCTGATCCGTTGCAGATTTGTCACAAAACAGTTGATCTGTTAAGAGAGTGTGGTACATTGGAATACATTCATGATCCGGATGGTGTTGCTATATTTGGTGATTTACACGGCAGTTTATATGATTTGTTCCGAGGAATAAAGGATGCTGGTTGGCCCACTGAGAGAACTTTAATTTTTCTCGGTTAGTTATGAAGCACTGCTAGAATTCAAATTCTTCAATCTAAAAAATTTCATTTTTCAAATATGAACCTATTGGACTATAAATTCCCTCAACCTTTCATTATATCCTTTCTAATGCAAAAATCGAAATCTGAATCGAAAGTTATCAATAGGTGACTATATTGATCGCGGGAAGTATTCCCTGGAGATGGTACTATTACTTTTCCTATTAAAATTGCGATATCCAAAACGAATGTACATGTTGCGTGGTAATCATGAAACGATGAGTCAGTGTTATGCAAATGAAGATGAGGAACGTGGATTGATTCGAAGTGTGCGTGCATTTCTTCTTGCAACCTAAACATGATAACTGTGCTGGTTCAAATAGCTTTTACTTGATTATTTCATTCCTTATCCATAATACATTAATCCACTAGAAATTTGCGTGTGTTGTAAAATACCGCATCACATTCTGAATTGTAAAATGAAATTAACACCCTAAAATTATATAATTTCTCTATTAATTGTTCTTGACAATTTTCAAACTTCTGTTCATGCAAGCAATTTAGATTGATTAGTAAGACATAGAATTTGTTATTACAGATTGAGCGTTGTTATCCGCATGCTAATAGGAATTTGATACTATTTAATATCAATTTTGTTTTCGATCATTTACCACTTGCTGCTATATTATCAGGTGAGTGAGAACAGTGCAGCTTACAGTGTGTCAAATTTACTCTATCATTAGTTTCTGCAGACAACGGAAATTTTTCAATCGAATAAGAGAGGAAACATCGAGAGTTTAAAAGAGCCTGAAATGCATTTGCTTAAAATTTCAGTAAAAAATTCAACATTTAACAGAAAGTATATTGAGAAAATGTTCAGAAAGACTATCAGTACAACTAATAAATACCTTTCGTTATTAGTAATTAATTGTATATTTCGATTAATGTTACTTCTCGTATGCTATAACATTTTTCTCGAAAGATCATGAAGTTTGAGAATGCATAAAATAAATTGAAATAAAAGATTATTAATTTGTAAATGCATAAATTAAAAATAAATTGAAATAAACAAAATGAACTACAGCATTTCTTCCAGATCAAGTGCTACTTTGTCATGGCGGTATCTCGCAATTTATAAAATCGCGTGAAGATATTGCACAGATACCACGTCCATTAACGTGGATTGCGCCGGAAACAAATGTCTTACATATAAGCATAATGACAGATATTTTATGGGCTGATCCATCTAAAGAAATGACGTATACTCTATTTAAATTTTAATAACATCCGATCATTTTATTCAGAATCTTGAGATTTTCAAATGAGATGGCATCTGATACGATCAGATTTATTCGAAGCAATAAAATGTTTAGTACTAACTTGAAAAAACCTGGAATTATAATAGAAGATTGATGATAAGTTTGCATATACCAACTAGCTTACGCATGTGTACATTCACTTTCATAGCCATTATACTTTGGCTCGTTTGTTTTATACTTAGCAATTTACATCAGCATGATATTCTATCTTAATACCATATTATGGCTATGGAAACAATATTTAGCCATTCAGATCAAAATACTCACCTTCCGGACGTGGCGCATCATACTTTTTCAGTCGGAGAGCATTGAAAGAAAAATTACGAGAATTAAATTGTAGAGCTCTTATACGTGGTCATGAAGCTAATACAGTAAGTTAAACGGAAATCATACGGTAATTATAGTATTGCATAAATTGCTGCAAACAGCGATTTGAATGGAGCGTTCTTTCTTAACTTTTCATTAATTATTTTATGTAATGATTCCTTCCGTTTATACTTTTTTTTTGTAATTTCTTGTAAATGAGTGATATATTCCTATCATTGGCATTGAAAAATAAAACCAACGATATCGAATCAATCAAAATACTAATCTTACTTCTTCATGTTAATGGAGAAGACCTGAAGTGCACATAAGTCAATAAGCAGCTCAGATTACTTGCACGATATGAAAAAACTTATGATTTCTGTTTCCTTTGATCTTTATAGAGTGGTTTTGTAAAAGTATTCAATGGTCTGTGCTATACGGTACATTCATCACCTGCAGCTGGTGATGAATATTATGTCGCAGCTATTTTATTGCTCGATTTTGATGCTGACACAAAACTTCTGACAGGTCGTGCTGTATATCATTCCACAAAGGGAAATTTGAAGCATTTGAGGGAAGATTTGGCTACAAACTTTGAGGAAGTGAGGTATGTGGCGTTCATTTATTCCTTTTTTTTAATGCCATTCTTTTATTTGATATAGATTTAGATAGCAAAAAATTTTAGGTGTTTTATCATTCTGTGTTTTTACGTTACATGAAGGTGTATGCTACATATACATGGAAACATATTCCTGAAAACTTTCCAGCCGTATCAATCAATTTATCAGTTATTTTTAGACATCTTTATCCACTTGATCCACCTGGTAAACTTACGTCGCAATGTTGGTCATGTATGAAGTTTATGGAAGGTGTGCCAGAAGCAATTTTCAAATGGCAACGGTGTCTTTCGCATTTCGATTATTACATGATCATGCGAGTTTGTTGTTATCAATCATTTTAAAAATTTGTAAGAAACTATTAGAATTTTCAGTGATGAAGAGATGGGTAGAAAATAGAGGATTGAACTCTCAAGAGTGGCCAAATACTTGTTTTGTTGAAAAATTAAATCAAATGCTTTCCTTATTTGATATAAAGTTTGAAGAAATATAATTAATTTTTTTTTATTTTATTACATATCATTTATTAGTTAAAGAAATGAATAGAATTTTAAGGAATATCGAATTGGTGAACATGATCTTCCATTTGAAGATGATTTCTTTGATGAAATGGACGCTGTAACTGAAGATAATTTGCATGAACTATATAAGATTGCTGCGCTTCGATATCCTAAATTTCTCCACTTATTGATAAATGAAAATTGTACGTTTGTAAAGCAGTCAATTTATCACAGTGTGTAATTTTTTTTTTTGAACTCTGATTCCGCTGATTTTTTTTCAAACTCTTATTTCGTTGATTATTATATGAAATGCTCTGTTAAAGATGTGTTGAGTGTTAGTGGAATACAACAGCCTGATGAAGTACCAGAATATGATTTCAAATTCGTATTACCTTCATTCGAAGAAAGATGGCCATTTCTAGAAATTCATGATTGATAATGCATATTTGTAAGATCGCTGCTTGTTTCAATTTCAACGCTTGAACTAGTAATTTTTCTAAGCCTTCCTTACTATTTTTATGCTGCACAAGTACTTTCACGTCTGGTTCAACTGGTACTCCTATTTCAGTTGTTTATGCGACAAATTGAAATGAATACTGAGCTGAATTTGAGTTCGGGCAATAATGCAATTCTGAAAATTCTATATATTTTATGAAAAATTATTTTATGGAAATTTCGTTTTATAATGAAATGGTGAAAAGATACGTATGAAAAATCTCCAAAAGTAATTAATAAAGTGGAATCGTTATTGTTGACTTCAACTTTCTTTTCATTACAAATCTTAACGAATAAAAAAGTCAATAATAATTCAAATACAACGTCCTATAAATTAATTAAATAATCGGAATAAATTTATATGAATTGAAATTGATAGTTTCAACGTTTTCAGCTTCATTATAAAATAGTTACCACAAATATAGAAGCTTAAATTTTAGATGCATTAGTTATAAATTGATTTCTCAGGCACTGCATTACTTTCAAGACAATTTTTTATGAACTATTCTTTCTGCTTCCAGTCATTTTCGATCAAATATTTTTTTGGAAAAGATTATGGCCGGGATACAATTATTGAAGACTATGTTACTACCAGAAAAAATTTTATTAAAAATTATGGCTTTGGAAAAAATATTTTCAGAAATATGGATCTATATTATTTACTCAACAGTTTTCTGGAAAAATTCGATTAATAAAGTTTAAAATTGGATCTCCCTACTTAACTACTAAAGTCTTTCATTGATCAAGTTTGACTTGTTCATTAAACATTTCTTATAATTAGTCTGTTCATCTGTTAATTAGCTTCTTGATGGTTTAATAGTATTCTTTCAGTGATATGTTAGAAGTGTCTAAGTTTCCTTATGATACGAACATGTTTCAAGACGCCGAATATTTCAGTCTCACATATATATTTTTAATACTTAAAAAGATCGAGAAATGTATGTAGATTGACTAGAATACATCTAATTAAAAAAATCGCCGTTTGTTCCAATTTTAACTAAAGACAAAAAATTTGGACCTCTAAAAAGTTGAATTCCTTATATTCCTCAATATAATCAGCAGTAATTCAATTTCTGTATAATTTGAAACATGGCATTTTACTTACATATTACATAATTTTAATTTTTTGGAATAGTTTAATGAGATCCTGAAATCAGAAGAGTTCATTTGAAACTCTTTGTTGTAATTAATTTCTGTGAGTTTTTTTCAATCAGTGCGAATATTTTAGAATGCACTAAATGCAGTGCAATGATTATATGTTCCGAACGAATAGCGTAAAACTGAGTTAATCTACCATCAATATTTAATTATAAACACTGAGATTCTGGTCCGAGAATTCGCAAAATGCTCAATTATTTTCGATTTATAATCACAAAATGTCTTATCTTAGTAGCGTACTTTTACAGCATTTTATCACTGAATTGTCTTATTCATCAAATAAATTATTTGAAACATATGAAGAAATTTTCAATGCAAACCGCGCCCTCTGAACGTTGCAATGAAAAACATTTACAGAACAGAATAAAATTGCAGTTCTAAAAGAGCAATGAAAATAGAGAAGTGACAATAATTAACACATTAAAATCGAGAATACAAGCACTTTTTCTTTCACCTATTCGCGGTGGTCCCAACGCTTTCTGATTACCTGAATAGAAATTCCGCAATGCTTCTGGACAGTCATCTCCCTGAAATGCAAAGGATAAGCATTTGTTATATTTACACTCAAATTTTAGTAAAATCAAGAAATGGCAGCATTTTCGTTACAACCATCCAAATTCTATATTTTGGAAAAAAATCCAGCAAATATCAACCTGACAACAGCAATCACCATATCCATTGCATACAACAGAACCACCAACAAGCAGATCCATACCACGACACACAGTATCAACACTTTCATCAGCACAGGTCATTTCCACACCTTCCTCATCAGCTCTTGAAACACATGCGGTACAATCGGTACGTCGGTACATTTCCTCAGATGACGGATAAAATGATCTATTTAAACCCTTTGAACGATTATTCCCTATCCATTGTTGACGATATATATCACAAGTTACAGCTAAAATCAGATTTGATTTGCATTTAAGAAAAAAATTGGAAATACATTCTTGGCTGAAAAGAAGTTCCAATTTAAAATTCGTTGAATTCAGGAACCTTTGAGTACCTCTTCCTACTTGATGTATGTCTCGAAGAAAATGATTACGCAGTTCACTATAGCAAGAAATGGAAGTACAACAGCAAAGGTTATGACCACAGTATCCGGGAGCTCTGCTACACATCACTCCTAAATACAATAATTTTCAATACAGGTTTGATATTCACCTAAAAAAAAACCTGCAATTTGAAAAAGTAATCCTCCTTATTTAGTATAATAAACTGATATACATTATGGTACAGAATATTGCAGAAATACTTTTTCTATTACTGCGGCAAGACTTACTGTGAGATGGTGAAAAGTGCTAACAGTATAAAAAAAGTAACCGTAAAATTCATAGAGAGTTTTACTCTCCAACAAATTATTACGACGACATCCGCTTATGAACATGTTGGTGTAAATAGCTCCAAAACAAACGGAACAATTGGAAGCCTGTGAATTAATATATTTAAATAGTAATGCTGAGAATGCCTTCAAGAAAATTTTCATACCCAATGAAAATTCACATTTATGAAATAAAGCTCAAAAAATACCTCGAAAAATAGAATTTGCATCTTCTTTTTATTGAGAATGGCAAAATCTCCGACAGACTTCTCTGACTTTAATTAGTTAATTAATTAATGAATCATGATTTTTTTTCTTATGATATGTGAAAGTTTACGGACCAAAATGACACTTCGTGGGCTTATGCCCGGAAACATAAATAAGTTCAATTCCAACGAATACACATGGCAAATATAGCATAGCATAGTATTTCTACCGATATGGATTGAAATGATGTAAAGAAGCAACAACCACATGGTGCAAAATTGATTTCAGCAATAACTTGTAACTCCAATTAAAATGCGCTTTAAAAAAATGAAGCTATAAGCAAATTTTTAGATTTCGAAATTATTTTAAATGGGATATTTAGTAACGATACTGTATGAAACAGTGTTATAGCACTTCAAACGATTGAGGAACTTAAACAACCTTCTTGTCCACATTTTTTCAGATATTAAATGAGGTCCGTATTTTTTTTCAAAAGCACTCAAAAATGCATTCGTTAAAGAAAGTTTTTTTTCATACCGTGACCATCACAAAGGTTTAAAATTTTAATCTTACTCACTGGATTCTTCTCGAGAAGGAATATAGGAGAAAATATTGTTAGACTGCATATATGAACAAATCAATTAATTATTTTATTAAAACTGTGCACAAATAATAACTTTATTACAATTTATGCATCCGGAAATAAATTAATTGGAATCAAGAAAATCGATTCTCTAAAACTGCACAATATTCACTATTACAGTTCGCTAAAGGAACAGAGAAAAACGATCACGCACTACGAAAATTTCTCTTTAATAAATGAATTTACAGTTGGATAAAAAGTCACTCATTATGGTTATGACTAACATTCGTATTACAAAGACCAAACCATTTCGAATGCTTTTGTTATTCCAACATCGTTGGAATTAAAGTGCAGCAAACCAGCTAGCAAACAAATGCTAAGTATGTAAGAGACTGGTCCTTGAACAATTTTTGCTGCTGTCGGCCCAAGCACATATGCACGACCGTAATCCTAAATGTACAGCACTACAATAATATAAAAAGCAAATCATAATTTCGAATAACTTCTAATTAGTGTATGAAACGAAACAGGCAACATATATTTTATTAATATTAAAGAAATACTAAGTGAATATTTGTTGATAGCTTTCTAATGATATTTTTTCGCCATAACATCTCACCAGCTTATTACAAACTGTACACTTGATATGCCTATTTTGCCTGTTCAAACACCGTTGTCGGGAGATAATTTTTCATTTCAGTCACTTCGTTCTATACATTATTCAAAACTAAAATAAAAAAGCTTCAGTAACAACTGCAGGAATTCAATTTAAAAGCAGTTGTAAGTTAAATCACAAAATTTACACTCAATACACCATGAAGACCCCAGTGGACATGCAACGTGATTGCAATTGCTAAAGCGGTATCCATGGCAGGTCCATGAACAAAGTAAGCAGCTGGAAGAAGTGGAAGCATGGCAGCCGAGAAGTACTTCTCAATCTTAAACATCGTCGAATGATCATGAGTCTTCTTGAATGATTTTCGAGCGCTACAATCAAGAAATAAGTTAATATTTCAGAACAAAATATTTCGATAACCTCTGTAAAGGAAACAAGTTAGCACAATTTGTTAACATATCAAAAAAAAGGTAACTCAATTGGAACGTTCGGAGGTTAGGCAATAACTGATAAATCAGCCTCATATATTAAAACCAATAAGCATTAAAAATTCAGCAGCATTCCTACTGCTTCATGAATTTGAAGTGTGCAAAAGTGTGATGGGTTTAAAGAAGAAAAGAAAGTCAAAATCTTCTCAAATTTGACTTGAGCCTGTTCTTTCAATTTTATTTGTTTGAGAGAAAATTGAGTCATAAATGCTTAACGAATCGTTTGGAAAGAGTTAGATTTAGGAAATGCTTACATGATGGGATCAAACTGTGGACGATCAGAGACCGCTTGCGCCAGAGATCGTCGCATCACACAGGGGTAAACAAATCGCTTACTTGTGAATACGATACGCGTAGTAGCTGACAACATCTGAAGCCAATAGCAAAGAATGTCAATTTCATTTTCAAATTTAAATTTATCGTTAGGCTTTGATGGTTGATGGTTGATAACAGTTACTAATTTTTAGAGCAATTTACCGCTCAAAATTAATTACTCACTCCCCTCCTTATTGTAACCTACAACTCTTCACCACTGCAATCCCGAAGAATGCTCGCCTCCCCGCTATTCCCGTCCTCTCAGTCCATAATGCTCAATAGAAGAAATCGCGGCTCGGCCATTCACTGTTTGAGGTTAAAAAATGTGTGATACCGGCTGAAGGTGCTGTTATGAATGTATGTCGTTTCGGGCGGTTATCTCTCGAGAGGGAGGAAGATTGCAAGGTTTTTTTTGAACTCTTTTTCTCATGAGAATTCATTCAGAAAAAGAATATGCTGAGCGATATTTTGCTCACGTTAGAGCACTTCAAAGTAGCAAGTGGCAACTTAGAATGCTCAATTTGCTGTTTTGTTTGTATCATAAATTATACCCCATTCTCGAACTATTATGAAGATAGAGGGGATTTAGAGAGAAATAAATTTTCCAGTTTTACTAACGCACCTTTTTTATTTGTTTATGCATATTGTAAAAAGTTTTGTTGTAGGAAGATTTAAGTGAGGTTTTGAAATCGTTAAAGATACATTCGCCGAAATGGCCCGAAGATGCTGCTTGCTTAATCAGAGGTAATCTGGAGCAGTTTACTTTGTATTGTTTTACCAAATGTTTTTTTTGGTATTTCACTAATAAATGATGAAATGAATTGCGTAAACATGCTGTGTTATATTTGTTTTCAGGCAGTCAAAAACTCCAAGATGATTCGCAGTTGCGAGTTCCGGTTGCAAGAGATCCATATTTGAACTGTGAAATTACTTCCGAAGAATTTGTATGGATTTTTTTCGGATTATTTTACAATTTGTTTTAGTTTTTATGTCTACATCTTTACCACATTTTTCAGAACACGGATAATTTGTCTTGGCAAAATGGATGTGGTATTGCAGGCGTCCTTAATCAAAGTTATCAAGGCCGTGTAGTCAGCGTTTCCAATCTTACAAGTTTAGCAATCCAAAAACCAAAGCAAGAAATAATGGTGGATTTGGAACATAATGCTGAAATATTTTACGAACCAGGCGATGCCTTCTGTTTTACTGTACCGAATGCTCAAGAAGAAGTGGATTTTATTTTAGAAAGGTAATTTAAACTGCCTCTTTAGAGCAGCTGGGAAGCATTTTCAGGTGAGTAAAAAATGAAAGTGCAAAATATACTTGTTCAGTCGAAAAAATAAATTTTTTAGCTATATGATGTTGAATAAGTAAAAATTGTTTTTCGAAAACCAGATTATATTTGATTGAAAGCAAAGATCGCAAGAAACTTTGGTATAGTTGTATGATGCTTGTGAATATTATTTTTTTAAAAAAAAAGGTTTTTGTTCTTTAAATTATGAAAGCATTCAGTTGTTTTTGCACTTCTGATGCTATCTAAATCTTTCGAGACTTGAAGGGTAAAAATTTTCTGAAATGAAGATTCATTTTATGGCAACATAAGCAATTGTTGAATTTAAATGATTAAGTGATTGTCAGTTTTAGTCTTTTCCAAGTAGTCTAGTAAGTGTAAGCACAGGGTAACAATGTGTTAGTCTAGCAGACAACTGGAAATTGCAGACTTCATGTTCATTATTTTAATTAGTTTTTTAGGTTGGGTTTTTTGGAAGCAGCAGATCAGAAATTAGTCATATCTGTCAAATCTCAAAGTGCAGAAAAAAATGTAGCTTTGCCGCCGTATATACCAGAAATTTCTACGCTACGATACATTTTCACATGGTGTCTTGATATCAGACGATCTCCAGGCCGAGTAATTTGTTTTTTTGTTTTTTCTGGGAAATAAATTTAATATTTTTCAAGAATGTTCTACATATTCTAAATAAATAAATCTTTTTTCCCTCAGCTTTATTTCTGTTGTTAGCCTCTTCTTCGTGTACTTGCGGAATGTACAGAAAGCGAGTATGAAAAAAGGCGCATTCTGGAATTATGTAGCGCTCAAGGTGCTGAAGAGTTTATAAAATTTGTTCGTCAGGTAAGCTTTGAAATATTTTTCAGAATTATATGCAGTTTGATGTTGAATTCTTTCATTTCTTCACAGCATGCTTCTCTGCAATCAATTGTACAAGAAAGCTACTATTTGAAAATAAATCAATTTTCATTTGATCAAATTGAAAGAGTAGTAATATGCTTGGGTAGATCTTAGGTACTACCATCACTGATTTTATTGTTTCTTTGTAACGTTTATTACTTTTAAGGCAATGGATTTAATAGAAATGATTTTAGGCTGATATTTCGTTGGTTGATTTTCTACTAAATTTTCCTTCATGTCGACCTGCAGTTGAACGTTTGATTGGTTAGTTAAGTGCTTTTGACCTATTTCTACATGCCTACTGAATATTGTACTATCTTTTTTTTTAAGAATTACTTCCACGTTTGCTTCCGCGAGCATACAGTGTCAGCAGTATCAGGGAACTTTGGGGAAAACGTATACGTTTCATTTTTTCGTTATTACACTTTGATGCTACGGATGGCCGCCGTTTCAGTCGTTTTGGTTTATCATCGGGATGGCTTACAATGTTGAAAGAAGGACAAAAAGTTATGGTTAGTTATAAAATTGTTTCCGATTTCAAATCATTTACCAGTTTCTAGATATGGATCTGAATAGAAGTTATTGCATCTTTAGTTTAGATAAATTTTGTTTTTAGATGTTCCTGAAAGAATCATCTCGTTTCCGTTTACCGCCGCCGGTGCACTCTTCTTTTGATCTTGCACGTACACCCTTTATCATGATTTGCACAGGAACTGCATTAGCACCTTTTCTGTCATTCCTAGAGAAGTTGTAAGTTTTTTCAGTTTTTAAACACAATTTTATTGACAACTTTCTAAATTTTATAGTATGTTATTGCAGAGATTTCTTGGGAGCCGAAAAATATAGAGTACGACGAGAACTGTATTTTGGAATTCGAAATGTTAAAGATGATTGCATTCATTAGTAAGTTATGAAAAAAGGCATAATCATGTTGCATTTGTTTGCGACCTTGCTAATGATCTCGACTGGTGTTTGATGAAGAAAGCCTTAGTATGAAATGATCTCATTTTTCATTTCGTTGAGCTTTGGTGAATATTTTAAAGAGCACCATAAATGAAAAAACTGCCATTAAAATGATCATATAATGTCCTGCTGTTTCCTTTTATTAAAATTAGTCGTTGTTAAAGCTTTGAATACAATATCTCTCCTTAACGAAAATTTTGAACTAAAGCTCATTAGATTAAAATTATGTCAGAGAACTGGAGTCAAGTTATTCGTAGCACATTATTTTTCTTCTCTTTGAGCAGAGTCAACAATTGATTAAACTTTATTTTACAGTGAGGATATTATGCGGTCTGTAGGCAAGAATATTCTTTCACACGTATCTCTGTGTGAGTCGCAACCAGATAGTAACATTGCTAATAAAAAGTACGTGCAAAATGCTCTGCAGGAACGCAGTCGAGAGGTGGTTTATTTTTGGCTTATTTTCTAAAATTTTTTATATTTTTGCAGATTTTTTGCAACCCCTCTGGAACACGATATATTTTGATTTCTAGATTTCGGATATATTATTGCGGAAGATTGAAGACGAAAGTCATCCTGCAATCATTTTTGTATGCGGCTCTTCGAAGCAGATATTGAAAGCCGTGGCAGCTGTGTTTCTACATATTTTCAGAGAGTTTCTAAGTAAGTCATTACTTTATAAAACAGAAGTAACATACTGCAACTTATTGATTCATTGGAAGAGAGGTAGAAGTGGTTCCAACTCTCACTCACTTTGCTGCGGATTTGTGCTTTTGTCGTCCGTATTTTTCAATGCTTATTATTTTTTAATGCTTCTTTTTTATCTTGTTCTTCATGTATATCTTTTTTCGTGTTAGTATCTTGATATGAAATAATTTAAAATATTAAAGGCAAAAGTAAAGAGGATGCAGAATCATTCCTCAGAGAGCTGCGGAAAAACGATCAGTATGTTGAAGATATCTGGTAACATATATGACAGTTTTGCAGTAAATGAAGTTGACCAGAATGCTAACTTATGTTAAAATTGGATGTTGTTTTCAAAAAGTTAATATGACTCGTTAAATTTTATGTTATCAATTTTTGTTAAATTTAAATTTCTGTCGGGTAAGAGAAATGGATATCTACGATGTCTCTCATTCAACAAACTGTCTTTTTGGAGGTACTCTTGTTTTATATTTCAATATTCGCGTCACAGAACCACGTTTCCGATAACTTGTTAACATTACGTTCGTCGGAGCCAAGAAATCGGCAATCTCCGAATGGTTCAGCCGTCGAAATAGCTCTCCGTTCTCACCTTCCGAATGTTCATTGTACCCGAGTCTTAAAAAATTAAGGGCTTTGTGTTTCAAAATCTAGCAGATTTCTGCTTCTACCAAATTCAAGCGTTAGTTCGGTAACTGAGTTGCTAATTTCTTATTGCCACAAACAGCACACATGAAAAAAAAGGATTTAAGGTTCTTTGTTCTGTCTAGCATTAATGGGTTATACAAGATGTTAAATTGTTCGAAATGCTAAGATGTTATTGGCTTCTATAATCTATGTGAAATGCTCTTACCGAAAATCAATGAAGTACTGATCGACAATAAGGTTCATCGCCGAATCGAGAAGATTGGCAAACTGTTGTTCGTAAGCGATATCTAGTATTTTGACGGCGTCGTCCAAACTCACACTTTTCCAATTCTGTCGGAACTATATGTTCATTTCTTTCGATTTCTGAGATGATTGATAGAAGCATGGATGTCAAGTTCCCTCCCCTTCTCGAAGTGACTTCATCATGTTCAAATTTAAAATTAAAAAATGACTTGTAAGAGAGTTTCATTGAGTTTAATGGATATGTGATTGATAATTTCAGTCTGTTTTAGAGGTTTTATCCTGCGAACGCACTGCAAAAATTTCCGAACTTTGTCAATTAACTGTACTTCCATATTATAAGTGCCTTTAAATGCAAAGTCAAGAACCTAAAAAATATTCACGCATCAGGATAGATATTTTGTTTAAATTTCATGTTACCATTTAAAATTTGTCCGCTCAACAGAATTTGTTCAGTTTGCATTAACTATTCCAGCACCTTAGTTGTTCTCATAAATATTGAAGTCATTCGACATTGATAATCATTTTTATGGATATGGATAATTTGATGCTTTTTAAAATCTTTTATCATTCATCCAACCACCGATACACCATACATTTGAAAGATTTGACGAGAAAATCCGGTAAACCTTTTCAATAATTTCACGATTAAAGTCAAGGACAGTAGAGGAAGCGAACGGGTTTGTCGTGATCAACTCGTGGAAGTAATTTGTCGACAAGTACAGCAAATATTTTGATGTCTTAATCTCTCCATCATTAGCCATAATTTTGAAATCTCTATAAAAAATCATGCATTTTGCGAAATATACACTAACAGAAACTGCTGAAATTTGAAAAGGCTGACAGAATGTCGAAAGGAACATTTGTATAAAGAGGGGTTAAACCAATTACTTGAGCTTAATTTCGGGAGATAGTGCTAAATACATTCATCTCATTTAAAGCTAACAAAAAAACAAAAAAATTTAGGAGCTCTAATGTCTTTTTCTACCAGTAAAAAGGCACATAAAGTTCTGTAGTCCTGCAGAAATTTAAATAAAGATGAGATGTACTTTCAATATGTATTTTGAAACCTGAAATGGACAGTCCTTCAAGTCAAGCAAAAACCTTTGAACATCTAGAATTTGTGCCAATGCGACTGATCGAGAATCGTTCTCGTGAATTTGAGTCGGTGGAGCCCTTTCACGACGTCGTAGCATTCCGAAAAAATCTTTAACTTTGAAAATAATTCTCACGGTAAGAACTATTTCACCACCATCAAATGTTTGCGAATGGAGGGTAGTGAAAATCGACCGAAAGAATTCACTATCTTCTGGAACAACAAATAAGCCACTGAATGGTCTTTCTTGCATTTCGAATTCATTAACTGAAAGGAAAAAAAAGGCAGTCTTAAAATGTCGCCCACTGGCTATCATTTAAATTTTATACTTGTAACAATAAACTTCAAAAATGGTCACCACGGCATCAAATTATATTTAATGAAAAAATTTGAATATAAAATAAATTTTGAAAAATGCTGGAAAATTGAACTTCCATGTTCAACCTTCTCCTTTGTAATTTTATGTTCAAATTTTTTAGTTAATAAAATATGCCGTTATAGAAGTAGCCTACTTTGATCATACTTCCTGGAAACAGCATAATATTTGAGAAGAATAAGACCCGACGGGTACGTTTCGTCGATTCGCATTCGTCGTTGTGCAAGTCGAATTTGTGGTGCTCGGCGATCACATGATATATCAAAAAACCTGAGAAAAAAACAAAGAACAGTCAACCATTACCATTTGTTATTCAATTGCAATTATTGAAAAATGAAAAAAAAAAACAAGAAAAAATCAATCCTTCAAAGAAACAAAATTTGCTTATATGTTGCCGGATTTAAAAAAAATTCTACATAACAACGTGCAGGGATCCATAGTAGTATCGATTAACTTATAATATACAGCGAGTTTTGACTTTTCAGTGATAAGAATACTACTTTTGATTGATCTAAAACTGACCAGTCAATGGAACGGCTACCGTAGGTGGAGGAAAATGTAGCCGAATGAATACGACTATCCACATAAGCAATAGTAAATGCAAAACGATGAATGAAAATAAGTTCATCAAGCCTGCCCTCATCATCCTTCGAGAAACACTCCATCACCGCCACTCTATGAAGAGTACTGATTCAACAATGATAATTGATTAAAAAAAAGCTTCGATTTATTTATTAACTGAGGAATTCCAATTTTTTTTAATTTTAATTTTCTTTGAAAATCTAAATATAGGTGCTGTAACGCTGTTTAATAGTAATATACAACACTTTTGTGCTTGAACGTTGACCTTATTTCTTCTTTACTAAATGTTTTTAGAATTCAGATTTATGAAAAGGATTACTTCAAAAAGTCAAATTACTTATAATGCAAGATTATACTCATTTTCAGTTATCATCAGAATCCATCAAGCCAAATTTCTGCGCAGGAAAGGAAAAAATTCATTTATTGATAAAAGACTTGGTCTCGAATTGTGATGAATTGTGTGCAAAAATACATGAATAATTGATCATATTACATTATTCTTCATAAGACACATGAATCCAGTATAATTTTATTTTTCTCACTGTACAATGGCTTCTGCAATTTTCAAGATAAAGAATGCATAATGGAAATTGTGCCACTCTTGTATCCACTACCGAAATGATTCCTAAAAATATCGAAATAAAAGTTATAACAAAACTGTTGGCTGTGATAAAAAAGAGTAAATTCTGTCCGTTTAGCAAAGATACAAATAAAGGCCTATGTTTAAAGCTCATTTAATAATTTCATTATTAAAAGAATCCTGAATGTTTGCGCAGTACATAACGAAATTCTAAAAATAAATTATGAATATAAATTTTTGATTTTTTGGTAATTTATTCATATTGCTTAAAACTAATGAAAATGAATAACAAAAAAACATTTAATAAAACGACAAATATTACATATTAAATGAATAATGACTGACGGAAACTTAGCAATGATGGAAAAGAAAAAGAAGATAAAAGCCGCAAAAAAAATATATAAAGCTAACCAATGATTCAGATGGTGGAATAGTTCATACAATTGGACACGTTTTTGAATGCCTTTTGCTTCAGGAATGATTTCATGATAAGCGGAATAAACAGCTTTACCAAAACCTCCGAACATTTTCATTATACCAAGTTCATATTCACTATGAGCATAAAATGAAGCAGGGTCAAAAACCACTGAAAATATTAGCAATAACTAATTGTATTTGTGGTTACTAGTGTGTTGATAAAATACACAGTTGTAATATCTCTTACTGATATATTGATTATTGAAGATACCGAGAATTTCATAAGAATTAATTTGTTCAGGAAAATTGAGTGCCAAGTGGTATTGTTTACCAAAGTTTTTACATTTTTTTCTTTAAAATAGAGATTATACAGAATTTTTCTAATGCTTTTTTTATGACAAAATTGTTAGCGTTTTATAGCGCTGGTAAAATATCATCAATACTCAGGTGTATTGGTAATACTTAATGCTCATAAATAGTACGAAAAAATATTTTGACTGTTCACCTGGTCCATCCATACAATAACCATAGTTTCCAGACCATAAATCTCCGTGAACAAGAGCTGGAACAATACTTCCAATATCTTTAAAGAATGTTGGAATTTTTCGTTCCAACTGAGGCCATAATGATAGCAAATCTCTGTCGTTATGTTTCTATAAGAAAGGAAGTTACAATGAGAATGACAAAAAGTGGTACAAGAACTTATAGTTTCAAATGAAATTTCCAAAAAGCTAACTATTTTCTTTTTTTGTACACGATAAAATATATCTAAATAATGAATAACAATAATCTTTTAGATTAATTTTTTATAAATTTACTTCTAACAGCATGTCGATTTGATATTTCAAACGATTTCGTGCAAAAAATTCCTGAAATAATTTGTTAAACTTTACGACAATTTATATGTCAAAATTTCATTTAAAAAACTGAAAAATAAGTCTTAATAGTTTAATTGCTTCTAACGATTATACTATCTATCGTTATGAAAGTATTAAATAAATATGTATATATATTTTATTTATATATTTATTTAAAACATGGGTTAGAGCAAAGAGTTACGTAAGCTTAATTAACTCAAATATACAAATTTAAATGATTATTTAAAGTAATATTTTACCACCCAATCGCCACACCATTCATTCATTTGGGGCAAATAACCACAACAAGTGGGCATATGAAATCCAAATTGCGTAATTGATTCTGCGGCTTTTTCCTGACCGCCAACAAAATTACTTGCACGCTCTTTCTCTTTCAATAAACATGCATTGTGCATATGTAACCTGTTAATTACTGGATGATACTGATAGTTAGAAGAGAAGATCCTTAGACTCAGTGACCTTTTTTTGTTAATTTAAAGAAAAATTCACCGATTGTTTTTTTGGCTACTTCTCAGAGTAACCTATTCATTACAACTTAAAAATATTATTAGTGCAACTAATACTAATAGATGTATAACATAAAATAATAAAACAGTCAACCGTGCCAAATCTTGACCAAGTTGTGAAGGTTTCGAAGGACCATGTAAATCAACGTATTCCGTAATAAAGCAGTGCCGATTATTAACGGATATATTCTTAAAAATAACTGATTTTAGTAACGCATTCATGGAAATATTTATTTAATTTAAACTATTTTAGTTTAAATTAAGGAAGTATTTATTTAAATTTTATATGAATGGCAATTAGCCACTCCAAATTTTAATGTCATTTGTTTTTAATAATTTCTGAATACCTTGACTGGTTTTGGTACAAGTATTGTTTTCGTACGATATATAGCTTCTAAACTTGCAAATTCTCCATCGAACATACGCTTAGCCTTCAATAACCATTACAATTCGACTGCTATGGATGCGTGATGAAAGCTAAGGAACACGATTCACATATAACTTACAATCTTTATTGGAAGTTAATGAAACATTACTTTTTGCAAATTAATTTAAATGATAAAAGTAAAGAACAATTCAAAAGTAATGAATAAAGAAGTAAAGCAAGAAAAACAAATCAAGTTTCAGTTAGCTCTTGAAATTTATTCAACTTAAATTATCGCTATCTTCTAAATAAGATAAAGTTTGCAATGATTCAGAATTTTTAAAATATTCATGTATTTTTTTTAGACTTATACAAAACTTTTAGAAAAAGAATTTAAAATATTTACATTTTCACGGTCACTAAATTTGATGAACAGATCACCAAGATCTGAATGATAACCACTTCCTTTGCTGATGCAACCACTAGCTGCACCACCGAATGATCTGAGAGTTTTTAATCCCAACTCTTTTTGTATTGCTTCTTCCATTTGAATTTTACTGCATAAAAAAAGTTATCTATAAAATTTTGAAAAATTCGAAGCATACGCAGGGAATGAAATTTCACAAAAGATTAAGATGACAAAATTAATTAGCAGCTACTATTATTAGCATGCCAAATCAATTATACTAAAAAAAAGAATAATCGAGAAAATTTCAAAAAAAATCTAACAGGGAAGGAATGCTTACAATTAGACTGTCAAGATGAAGATAGCTTTCCTCGAATTGTAATTTTTGCTAACAACCAAATTTAGATGTTACACACACATTTTTTTAACAGCAAATTGCACTGTAACATTGCAAAAAAAGCTATCATTTCCTTTGGATAAGTAATTCACTCAATTAATGCATACGGTAATTTTATTACGAAGTGTTTTCAAATCAGAAAACATTTAACCAATAAGTTTATACAATATATATTCTATGTAATAACCAGTGAAAATTAACTTCTATTGTCAAACAATTCAATTTTTGAGCTTGAAATTCTAAAGAACATAACGTACTGTCTTTTCAATCCCGTCTCAATGCATTTGGGATATTTTGTATATAATCCTAAGGTAGATCTAAGCAAGGAAAAGAAGCAAATTGTTGTGAAATGTTGAAATAGATCAAAGCGAGAAGAAGGATAGGAAGAAAGAAAGCAATATATTTTCTATTAAGAGTTGAAAAGACCGGGATAAGAGATTATGATCGAAGAAAATATGACCAGCATAGTAGGCCAAATGATCTTATGCTTTAAAAAAGTAAAATTTCTA